ACAGGACGTTAACATAACGAAGGTTCCATGTTGAAATCATTAGCGCCGTGGAGCTGCTGTGGAGCTGCTGTACTACCTGGAGCGATGACTCTGTCTAGGCAATCCAAGTCTAGAAAGTTGAAAGAAAGTGCACGATAGACTAGCAACTTGTTAGCATGTCTCATAATAACACACATTCTCGTACAAATAGTACTCAGCCGCATTTTCAGTCAACAACATGATGGCCCACGTCGAACCTGATCGAGTTTCAAAGCATGATACTCACCTGACAAATGTCAATATCAAGGACATCTCGGTTTGCACTGGCAAGCAGAAGCTTTATGATGTCAATATCAACTCCAACAATGACTTCGACAGGGAGAATACCTCTCCATATCATGCACCCAGGCAGCTGTCTCCGCATGGTGCTTGCACCATTAAGCGCATCTGTCACGAGAAAACGGGTACCAAATGGCAATCGGTCCTTGATGTTATTGAGCATGGAGAGGAGATATCCATTGTGATAAGGCCGCGGTTGCCACCCCTAAAAGCACCTGGCATCGCAGTTGTACAGGCTGATCTGAGGCTGGAAGAAGTACGTGAAATTTTGAATATTGATTACTGGATTAGTAGAACTCACCAGATTTCAAGAACCAAAGGCCTAATTTGAACGCACGCTGTCAGGTGACTCGCACTCTGGCTGTGAGGCTGGAAGAAGTACGTGAAAATTTGAATATTGATTACTGGATTAGTAGAACTCACCAGATTTTCAAGAACCAAAGGCCTAATTTGAACGCGCGCTGTCAGGTGACTCGCACTCCGGATGCGAGCCTGGTGGGTATGTAAGTCTCATATTGCCAATGAACCGAAGAAATTAAACACACCCTGATTTCAAGAACCCATGAGGCCCGGTTCAAAACACACATTACTAGGTGACTCAGGAACTGGCTGCGAGTCCGGTGGGGTAAGTCTCTCACATTGCCAATGACAAATGAAACTCACATTCAGAGACAGGACTTTGCCAAGAAGCGGTGTGGCTGAAGGTGTTGATCTAGTGGTAGAAAATCTTGAATTAGTATGGAAAAGAAATTGTCAGTGTGTTTCAGGAACAATTGCCATCTTGAATTTTTTGACAAAGTCACAACACACATTAAAATATTGATGAGACTGGCAGGACCTCCAGTAAGTATTGCGAAAAGGGGAAAATTAATTATCCACAACATTTTACAACAGCTATGGGAAGCATACATTTGAGTAGATGTGAAACATATGTAGGAACGATGCCATCAAACAAGCAAATTGTGAACAGGACAATGCATGAGCAAGAGAAAGAAATCATTCATACCAACCCCTAAAGCAGTTCTGGTCTTCTTTGTAGTTCCAGACCCTCCCGTAGTCACCTCATCTTCTTCTGCTTTGCACTTAAGGATATTTCGATGACAGGTAGCATAACGTGTGTATCCTGTTTGTCTTGCACCGCCGACGACCTCATCAGCGAGAAGGTCCCAGTTGTTCAGTGGGTTCGGAGGAGACCATGCACGAATACGAGCGAAGGCGGTGTAGCGATGGTTGCGGTGTTGGGCTCAAAACCATGTATTTCCATACTCACGTCAACACCCGAAACATATGCGCACATGTCCGAGCCACTCCGTATCGGATCCGGCGCATTAGACCTTCAGACATCGCATCGGCTGATCGCACTTCGCGCGCACTTGTCCATCCATGTCCTGTCCATCCGAACTAGCCTCACTAGGTGCATAGTCATTTCTGTGCATGTTTTCTGACATTCGGACCGCAGTTATTACATGTCCGCAGCACCTCATGTCTTATTACATAGGACATCAGACCCGAAATATATTGCTACTATCTTCGCCTGTAGTTTCCGAATTTCTACGTACTTACTTAAATACTCTGTGGTGACCCGTAGCAATCATCATCGAGTAGTTAGGAGCTGTTTCCCGACTCTGCGGATCACCCAGAATATTCTCGTAGTTCTTAGTTGCATTGCGAAATATTTCCATTCGTTCACCATCATACTCTGTCACTTGTTATACTCACACATACCGCTCGCAATCCGACACTCGTTATAAAGTTTCCGACCTATTATCGTGAAGTCTGAAAGTCCGAAATCTCGGACATCGCACTTTGGCTTCGGACATTGGATAAGTACCTTCGGACATCATTTCGCACCATCAGACATTTTGTTATTTGCATTACTGACGCATTTTTACTACTAATACCAATTAGCAATCCCTTTAGGATCGAACGCACTTGCTCTGCAAGTATAGCAGCATAGGTCGTGCTAAGATCTACCTAAATATTTGTTGTCTAGGTAATACGATTTCTGCTGAGCCCAGTGGAAATCAGCTTTCTACAGTGGTACCCTGAACTTCACTGAAAGATAAATGAACACCATTTAGGTCAATTCGTTGACAATAACGAGAAAAATGTACTGTGGATAGTTGACTTTGATCAGGGAGACAACCCGGTCTCTAATCCTCTCCAAGGTACACCGAAAAATGTGGTTGATGTCTTCAAGTACCATCACACTCAGGAAACAAGTCCTGTATTTTGTCAGAAGATGGACTAAAGGGGAATAGTAATCATACCGCTGTTGCACAAAGATCAGGGTCTTTTTCATTAACGTTGAAGCTGCCATCGGGGTGGTGCAAAGCCACTGTTGTGATCGTCACAGTGATGGGATACTGCCAGATGTGACAAAACATTTTCATGATGGTTGGGTCCTCAGAGTTGGTGGCCATGTGCGACAGCCACTGCGAAAACATTGAGACTGATGGGCGTTCTTCTAAGACATCTGCCACCTTCAACCCTGACTCAGGCCCTGCATGCTTTTTTACCTCTTTTACATCAATTGATGTGATGGCAAGGAGATCCTTGCGCTTCACCATGAAGCTGGTGAGTCTCTTTGTTGCCGATTTCTTCATCTGTGAGATGCTGATCTCAGTAGCCCACAGCGGGATACAATCACCATCTGGGTCCTTGTATTCCATCAACATATCCGGCACTCCAAGTTTCAGACCAACGGTGCTCAGAAGTTGAACGTCAGTTTGGATGCGGATCTGCCCAAATCGGTAGGGTATGCCTATCGACCCCACAGTGCCGAGCAGCGTGGCGCTCATCGGGGCAAGGTATGCTTGATGAAGTTGGTTAGGCAGGGTGGCAGTAAGGAGTCTCAGGTCTTCAGCGTATACCAGTCTGATGGAAGTAAATGAATGAGTTCAGGATAAGACGGATATGGATATACAGGGTACTTACTTGCGTATTACTTTGTCTTCATCTCCATCTTCATCAATGGAATCTAAAATAGAAAGATAATCGTCGTTTGACACATTGAAGAATTCCTGTGGAGCACGAGTCAATTCCGATAACCAAATAAATTATTACATACTAGGACTTCTTCCACGTTATCAGCATCTTTGATGGCAATGATAATCCACTTGCATAAGCCTATTGGTAGGGTCAGGGTGGTGCAACAATCAATGCGCTCAACATACTCACCATCTTTAGGAACACATTCATCAGCTGATTTGGGGGATGCCTCCCTCTGCAAAGGTGTTAGTACAGGACATATGTTTAATTCAGCCTTGGGTTTTGATGGTGATTCAAACTCCAATGAAGTGGCAGTGTTCTTGGGGGGGTGAGTGTCTGGGGAGAGACTTTTCATAAAGGTTGTGCTTTTGCCCCCAAGTTGAGGACTACGCAAGCAGGAACCTCTGTATGATGTCACAGATGAAGACTGCAACCTGTATTCAAAGAAATTATTGCATGTTTCTGGTGATAAGAGACGGGTAGTTTGAATGGGCATGACAATACAGATGTGCCTCATGGGTGCCACACCACTGCTATAATATAGCCTGTGCAGATTGCCCAGGCTGAGTCAGCTGTCAACAGGTTTCTTTGTTTCTATCTTAGTAGTACTGTATCATAGGTGACAGCACTGGGTCAGTAGTCTCAGATTTCAGTACTCAGTACTCTGCAGTAGAATCTCAGAACTCAGAACTCAGAATTCTTGCATGCATGGCAAGGAAACACATCAAAAGCTTTGAGAGCTGCAAGGAAATAATTCTACTAAAATGATTTACTTGCCATTCATTCATTTTGGATTCATCAGCACCATTGCCATCACCATCGATTTCTTTGGCAGAGGATGGAGACGTAGGTGCAACACAAAGATATGTAAATGTACTGAATTTTTGATTTACATAATATTTCAAACCTACCGCCCCATTGACTGCAACCGTCATCTGGCTGACAGGCTTGGGCCATGGTCCAGCTTTGTTCTACAAGCAACACAAGATCACTCATCTTAGTTTTCTGTGTTGTATTTATGGTCCAACTTGTCTGTGGTGCCCAAGGTTGCCAATGGGTATTACTACAAGACCAGCATGCTCTTATGTTGCACCGCAAAACCTGTGTCCAATATAAAAAAACAGTGCTTGCTGTGTCACAGAAGCGAAAAGATAGTGTGTGTAATGCAATAGCTGCAAAGGTAATGAAGAACAGAACACACGGTCCTCCAGTAAGTACTTACTACTGGTTCTGGGCAGTGTTCTTACAAAGCAATCCTCAAGCCTGCTGTTGCAGTCGCAGACATGGGACCCAAGAAATGTGTTGCTGCCTGAACATCCACTTATCGAGGAGATCACCCCCATGAATCAGGATCATGCTTCTGAGTTACCTATGGATGTTGACCTCCAGGATACTGCTAGTGCCAACGTGTTGGCAGGAAGCCCGGATATTCAAGTTGATTTGTCCGAGTCAACGATGGACATTGGTAGGCCTGGAAATGCTATCTATATTTTGCACTAACTAGCTTTATATCAGATCACTGCATCTCTGGTGAATTGTGTGCCCTTCCTGGTGATGGGAACATGAACTTGGAATGCATTGGTGAGAAACGACTCTTGCACTTTAGTACATGCTAATTCTCAAAAAGCTTGGTCTAAACTGCAAAGAATTACCAGACTGCCCAAGCGGTATTGTGTCGATGGGCCTGTGGAACATGTTGTCCATCATATTGAGACATCTACTCAGGACATCAGTACATGAAGACACCTCAGCAACATGTGATATACCACCAGCCAGAAGTGTTGTCCGAAGGGTAATTCTTCTTGTCACTGAATCCATTCGTAACATTGTGGGAGCATTTGGTCTATCTCGTGACTACCCACAGCACCCATCCTATGAACCGGACATATTCATTCCCCCACATCTTTTGGTCAATAAATGTCCAACAGTACTGCCCCTTCCATCGATTCCTCCACCCCCACATCCTTTTCCGAACATGACAGTTTATCAACTCCTCAACTGGATGTCCAGCAGAAGTACCAGAAAGTCGGAGGCTGAGGTTTCGCATCTTGTGCATGATGTGCTGCTTGCGGAGGATTTCGATGTCCATGACCTTCAAGGTTTCAGTATAAGGAAGCATCTAAACCTTCTTGATAGTACCCCAGACAAAAATCCCCTGAATGGTACTGCGAAGTTTCCGGAAGGTTGGATCAAGACGGATGTGACTATTAAAGTCCCAAGTCGGAAGGTGGATGCTTCTGGTGGGCATCTGTTTCAAGTCCTGGGATTTCACTATCAGGCCATTGGTCAGTGCTATTCACGGAGGGTTTTCAGACGCTCAAGCGAAAGCATGTCATCTATGGCCCTTTCGTCGTCTCTGGACTGATCCAAATGATGGGAATACATATCGTGTTTGTTACAAGAACATCTAGACACTTGGGCCCCTACTATTTTTCTCCTTATCCTCCTCATCTCCGCCCTTGCATCACACCCTTACCCCGACCTTGCTCTTGTTATCCTCGTCATCCTCGCATTCCCCTTCGCTCTCTACCTGTTGCTCCAGCAGAGCCAGTACATCTGGCCGGACCCTTTCTCTGACGAAGCATACCCATGCTCCGTTCCACCCCCTGACTGATCCTGTGGACAGTCCCCTTTGCCCTTACCGTCTGGACGGTAACCTATGACACGATGCACGCCGCATCTCCTTTACCCTGTTCCCTTTCTTGATCTATGACTCGGTGCAGCAGTCGCACATGTGTACTTATATTTAGCTCCAGCAGTTGCATGATCATGCCCCTGCGCATTTCACTTCCTGTTTCTGTCTTTGACTCGTTTTCTATCTGCACATTCCGGTTCACCTATGACTCACCTCGAACGTGCCTTCCTTTTCTAGTATTACCCTTTGACCAGTTCCCTTTCCAGTAGTACAAGTTATCATCCACTAATACGCATCCTCTCCTCTATATAAACTCACTACCATGTATCTTATTCCTTAACTTGAATCTACTTGGTTCTTGACCTCCTACTCCTAACAAGAGTAATTCCTTCAGCCTAGCCAGCTGTCTATATTCTACTTTCTTATCTGCCCATCACAGATAAGTCTCTAGTCTCGATCTTTACTCATCAACTTCGTTGATGAGCAAAGCCCCTCTTAACTAGTCAGACTTCTGTCCTTCTAATTAACGCAGATCTTACGATTAACCTTCGGGTGTCATAAGCCTTGGCAGATACACTTATTGTCGAGCCCCAACTTGACATAAGCTACCCGATTTGGACATAGGCATTAAATCTTACTTGCCGAAGCCTCGCCAAGTAAGACCCCTAACCTTGGGCTAGCCCAAGGACATCCTTGACCATTGACGACACACGCTCTGTTTGAGCGTTGCCAACAGATACTATCCAAGTTGTAACAGTGTTTATGATGAGCTTTATACATCAGATGCGTGGATAGAAGCTCACAATGACCTATAGAAGCAGCCCAAGGAGCCTGATTGTGCTCTCGAGTGAGTGATTGCAGGCTTGATGTTTTCCTCGGATGCGACTCAACTTGTCAACTTTGGGAACGCGTCGGCGTGGCCATTATACTTGTTTTTTGGGAACCTGTCAAAGTATGCTCATGCAAAGCCTGACTCTGGAGTGTGTCATTTAATCGGATTTTTACCATCTGTGAGTGTTATTTATGTACTACTACATGTGTTGAAATGGTTTCACATCTGCTTGAAGCTCCCAGATTGAATCAAAAATACCTCCTGAAACCTTGGGGTCGTTACAAAAAGCGATATAGCTGCTCTATTCATACACTGTTGAAGAGAGCTTTTCCAAGGATGTTGGGACATTCTTTTGGATGATGACTTCATTCATGCATACCACCATGGTATTGTAATGAGATGCACTGATGGCATACTTCGCCGCATGTTTCCTCGAATATTCACCTATTCTGCAGATTATCCGGAAAAGTGAAGTGAGCTTGAAAAATCTAGTTATGTACCACCAATGTAATGTGAATATCAGGACACTTATCGCAACTATCAAAGACATGGGATCATGTCTCTGTCCACGCTGCCTGGTGATGAAATCAAAATCTGATCATGTCGGATTTTTGAGAGACATGTGCGTGCGGATGCAAGGTCTAAGGGTCTACTGCTTGCAGATGATACAGGCTGCATGAGATTTTGTATACAAGTCTGGGTACGCAGTTGACAGAACTGCAGTGGAGAACCTTCTTTTCTGTGACTCATGGGTTCCAACTATTGTAAGTACTATTTCGTGTGTCCTATTTACTGGCTGAGACGCGATATTCAGAACATCTTCGCTCAAAAGCTTGGGCACTTCGGATTTGACCCATTTCACATGTTAGTTGTTGATTTTATGCACGAATGTGAATTGGGAACATGGAAGAGTCTCTTTAGTCATTTGGTCCACCTTCTATATGCCCTCCCCAATGGCGCTGAAGTTATTATCACACTCAATAAAAGGTAAGTCCCTTCTTTTCAAACTTGCAGAAAGATTTAGAATACTATCAGATTTAGCCATGTGCCCACATTTGGCTGAGGTGTTATTCGCAGATTCTCTGATGACACGTCCAGCATGAAGAGGTTGGCTGCAAGAGACTTTGAGGATATTCTACAGGTCATCATACTTTTTTGGGGGAGATCGTTACTGATGATATTGCAGTGTGCTATGTCCATTTTTGAGGGACTCCTCCCATCCCCACATGATGCGATAGTGCAGACCCTGCTGTTCAGATTCGCTGAATGGCATGCCTATGCAAAAATGCGGCTACATACTGAGGTAACCCTGGATTCCATGTCACGAGTGTTTACTTCTCTCACTCGGCAGCTACGAAAGTTCTGTCATCATATCTGTGATCACTATATTACTTTCGAACTGCCGAAGGAAAAGGCTGCATGGCATCGACGACTCGGACAAGCGCATAATAAAAGCCGGCCTACTGATACATCTTCATCCTCTCCAAAGAAGAAGTCATTCAATATGAAAACCTACAAATTTCATGCCCTTGGAGATTATGTTCAGTCCATCAAGTTCTTTGGGACCACTGATTCCTTCACGACACAAATTGTATGGCGCTGGTTTATTATTATTTTGAGCTTGTACTGAGTACTGAGTTTAGGGTGAACTTGCCCATCGAGCCATCAAGGCATTTTACCCATTAACCAACAAGAAGAATACGGCCAAGCAACTTTCCAAACACAAACAGCGCTGACGCTGGCTTCAAAAGATGCAGGAGTTAGAGAAAGAATCATCTTTGGCTCCTGACTCCCTCGAAAATCTTCCACCCCCAGATCCATGCCTTCATCACCAACTATCTCATCATCGCAACTCTCCTGTTCACATACACCAACTACTACAGGACAACGAGAATGATCCAGTGCTTAAGGTGTGTATTTGTACAAGCTTGTGCGTGCTAAGTGCTCAACCACCCTTCAAGAAATTCATTCCAAAACTCAAGGCCCACGTATTGTGTTGCTTACGAGGGCAAGATGGCGATAGCCTCGTCGAATTTTTGAGCAATGACAGAAATAACATCATCATATGTGACAATGTTCTGTTCTCAGTCAATACACTATGGGTCAACTACACCTTGTATGATCTGCAATGCGAGCAAGATCTGATTAACCCGTGCAACCATGCTGATATCATGGTGTTATCAGGTGATTCCAAGGCCTGCTTGACTCATCCTTACTGGTATGCTCGAGTGCTACACATTTTCCATGTCAATGTACTTGACCTACGATTGGGTGGAGTGCATCCACCAAAAACTCAGATGAAGATATTGTTTGTCCGATGGTTTGATCTGGTGCAGCGGTACCATTTGGGGATTCAAGCAGCTCGTCTGCCAAAAGTCACTTTCATACCCAAGACTAATGACTCAGCTTTCGGTTTCGTTGATCCTGCATTAGTGATTCGCGGAGTGCACCTGATTCCAGCCTTCACAGATAAAAGGGTGTTCCAATCCACACCACAGCAAACATCAGCTGGACATAAATGGAGGGAGGATGATGGATGGACTGCATACTACGTCAATATGTAAGTCCTCATCTTGGATTTTTTTGATAGTCTCATGTCATTGGCAGGTTTGTAGATCATGATATGTTCCTTCGTTTTACCAGCACTGGTGTTGGACACAGACCCTGGAGAGTAGATGATCCAAGCGAGGATTCAGGAGAAGCCTACAGCCATGCTGAACCTGGAGAGGAGGATGAGTCAGGGGACAAGGAAGATGAGGAGAGTCAAATGGGAGAGGACAGTGATGATGGGAATGAGGGGAGCGAGGATGAAGAGGAGGACGAGGAGGGTGAAGATGACCACATGGAGGATCCAAGTCTCACTGATTCTGATGCTGACAAGGGTGGTAATTTCTAATGTAACACATATAAGGACACATTTCTGTTGTCATCTATCTGATGGGATGCACGCGCCAAACAGAACATTTTAAATTTTGCAGCATCAAACATAATCCTTCTATCTCATCTCTTGCATGTGTGGCCAAGCCTCAAAAACTATACTTTGCTTGAGACCCCTTTAAACTTAATGCTGTCCAGATCCAATGATCACATAACTGTCGTGAGCTGTCTAACGTTATTTCTCACTTATGTGAGTGCTAACTCGTGATCCTTAATGATGACAAAATGATCTCCCCTTTTAACAAGATGAGAGATTGCCATTCTCACCAGATGTTTTCTCTCTATCGCCAAAACCAAGCCAATGCTCTGGTCACATGATTTCTTGTTGATGCTATTAGGTAACACGTGGTCCACTTGTGAACAAATGATTTTCCCTTGCAAGCCTTAGATATGAAATGAGAGAAGTATGGTCTACGAGTCTGCGTTCTGTAGTGTAAGAAGTAATTTACTAGAAATAACCCGACCATTATAACTTGATATCAAGCTATGTATATACACAACTTAGGAGATGATAATATGTAATTAGCATCAGGTCATAGCGAGCTACCTTCTATTTAGTGATGTCGTGGTCCACTTAAAACTCACTCAATATCAGCATTTTGCCGCATCGAATGGGGACAACAGTACGAATGTGGAACTACATTTCAGTTCGAGGTATACTGGAAGAAGCTTCAAGTGATCTTACGGAAAGACAAATGGCGCGTGTTACATCATTTTATCTCTGCAGATTGTTGTCAAGAATTTGTACAATGATGAATGTGCCAACAATCTCGCCACCTCAAAGACTACCAGAGTGCCATCCACCGAGTCTGTTGTTGGTCGCCGATATACTCAAAGGAATCCTAGAGGACGAGGGAGCGACCCATTGGCCACAACTGTATAATGAGGGGCTCACTTCTTCGCTTCGCAGGCCCATAACATTGTTTCTGGAATCGTCATGGCCTCTTGTTCTGTTTCCCTTCGTCGTTGTATGCTCTTGTTTCATTATTTCATCGGTATTGCATTCCCTCATTCGTTTGCTGCATTATCATGATAGGCTCATCTGTTGTTGTCACTCGCTTTGTGAAGTTCAGAGTCGAAAACACGCTGTTCTCGATATACACGGTCTGACACGCCTGGACACTGCCAAAACACGCTGTCCTTCATATACATGACCTTACTACACGTCAGATGCATTTTCAGATCCTTATACATGTACAGATAGGCTAATTCATACATGCGCGTATGTTTAATGGGGTTTAACGAGGATGGCCATATTCGACAGCCATCTGTATATCAGCTCTACTTCGTTCGTTCGTTCCGCCGACAAAAAACTACCAATCAACTATGCTATTCAAATTTCTTGCTTTGTCTGTTTGACGACGCTGATCCAGGACTTCTACGGGTCGCTCGCTCCCACCGGCGTCCAGTAGTGTAACAGGCATCAGACCCCTGTGCGCAGGGGCGAGAGGGGAATATAGAAGACGTTCGCAATCTTAGCGAGTTGAATTCGCGAGAGGAGAGTCAGTCAGTCATCGGTCGTCTAGGGATTCCGTAGTCTCCAGTAATAGGCTGCCAGATAGCCAGGCAAAAAGGGTTTTGAACTCCGTGGACTCCTATTTGTTGTCTCCTCGGTGTCTAATTAGTACCAGAGCAACACACGATAACAGCTGAAAGCAGACCTGACGAAATTTCACGTTCGGTCACTTGGTTCACAAAGAATTACTTACAATTTTGTGCCAGAAAGCAGAATTTGAAAATACACGCGGCTTCCTTTGAGTTGGTCTAGGGCTCAGCGTCAGCCATGTTCTGAAAAGTGAGTTCATTTAGAATCAGTCCGAGGTCTCGGGGAATACGGTTTGCTGTGTGAGGTTAGATGCCCGCTGCTGAGTGTTCACACGAAGAATTTGATCAAACTCACTCACAACGGGGTTGATGAGGGTTGCAGCCAGAGTTGTGCGGAAGCAATCGGCGCCACAAGTAAGCCACAATGATATGACGTAATGGCACAGCGGCAATTCTCGATCATCATCAACGTACGTTCAACCGTGTTCAACCGCGGTATGCATCACCGACCAACCAGCAACAAGTTAGAGAGCCACTATATAATGTCCTCTCAAACCCTAGCTATACATCTCTTCCCAGCCATCGTACTATTTCTTCAGGTTTTTTCACACTGATGAACACCGTGACGCCGTCTCAGAGTCAGACACACTCCGTCACGACTGTCCTCGTACTATCTAATCTTCACTGCGACAGGTACACATACACAACGGTCGTCATTTGATTCTGTTAATTTTTTTTTTGCAGTTGTGTAAGGACAATTAATGAAGTACTCTTCTCCCTCTCACCCCCTCCAACGAGGGTAGACATATCCATCGTCCACCAATCAGTGACAATTTGCCATGCCTTTACAATACTCAGGCACACCATACAATCCATGCTCGAAGATGCCGGGTTTGATGTATCTGACTCAACCTCTGAGCAAAGGCTTTCACAACAAATGAGTACCACGCTCTCTAGAAAAAATCAAAAGCATATACAACAATGTTCATCGTGTCAGGAGGCGCCCGCTATGGCACTCCAAGGCATAATTCCACCACTTTTGCAGGGTAATGCCGGTAACTTATCTTCCAACGGCGCTTCTTCAACGGATTACTCCACGCTAAAGGGATTAGAGAAAGACCCAGAATCGGGCCCAACACCATTGCGTAAAGTTGACGTGCCGCATCTCGTCACCCTGTCCGTAGGTGGCATGACATGCTCCGCATGTCCAAGTACCATTACCGAAGTGGTCTCGCAACTCCCAGGGGTCTCCAAAGTGATCGTTAGCCTGCTCAACCATTCCGCTACGGTTGTTGTTGCTCGAAAGGACCTTGTTAGTTCCGTGACCGACACAATCGACGACTGCGGCTACCAAGTCGACGTCATCAAGGTCGAACCACTCACCTCAACATCAAAAAGTGAAACGGGTCCTCGGAGTTTATCTCTTCGTATCGATGGTATGTATTGCCAGTACGTCGATTTGCACTGTCATCACATCCAGTGTTACTGATTTCTACTAATCAGAAACTGTCCAGCAAAGATTATGACTGCCTTGCAAAGGCTCCAGCCAGACGTTACCATTATCAAACCATTATCAAACCAATTGGACCCCATAATGGAAGTATCATACAAACCATCGCCTCCAGACTTCACCATCCGCTCTATCATCTCAGTCATCGTATCTGTGGAGCCGGCATTATACACTGCATCGATTCATTGTCCACCTACGCTCGAAGAGCTCACGCGCAGCATGCAGCAGCGTGAGCAACGAGCCTTGCTTCTGCGCCTGTTTTTCACATTTATTATTGCGATACCCACGCTCATCATTGGCGTGGTTTTCATGAGTCTCATTCCCGGGGGCAGTCCGACGAGGCAATACCTGATGGAGCCCATGTGGAAAGGAAATGCGTCTCGGATTGAGTGGGCGCTTTTCTTTCTCGCGACCCCAGTATACTTTTATGGTGCTGGCTTATTTCATCGTCGGAGTATCAAAGAAATCAGATCTTTATGGAGGAAAGGTAGCAAGTTTCCCATCGTCAAGCGTTTTACTAGATTTGGGAGTATGAACCTTCTGGTATGTACCAATGTTACCCGCGTTGTCATAAAGTGATGACATGTATGAACAGGTATCTACCGGAGTATCTGTGGCTTACTTTTCGTCGATCGCGCTTCTTATTCTTGCAGTCATACAACCACCTGCGAGCAGCGGTACAGCACAAGATACCACGTATTTTGACGCCGTCGTGTTCCTGACCATGTTTTTACTTGTTGGCGAGTGGAGCCCATGTGTTGCCTATTTTGCGTGATATAATATAAATTATCAGGCCGTTACCTTGACGCTTATGGTAAAGCGAGGACTGCTGACGCAATTACTGCCCTCAGCTCGCTCCGTCCTGCCGAAGCTCTTCTCCTGACCTCTGGTTCTGGTTCTGGTTCCACGACCCCCCCAATCGTTTCCCGCAATGATCCCGAAAAATGTGACGTGTTATTTGATAACGGTAGCTTTATTGCATCTCCCGGATTCAAGTTCGAAAAGGTACCTGTTCACCTATTGGAGGTTGGCGATGTGGTACGTGTGCAAAATGGTGCCACGCCGCCATCAGATGGTACAATCGTGTCTGGGGCGCAGACGTTCTTTGACGAAAGCTCCGTGACGGGCGAGGCTAGACTCGTCAAGAAGAATGTTGGGGACAAGGTTCTCCTCGGAACAATCAACAGGTCTAGGGCAGTAGACGTTCGAGTGGACGCTATTAGTGGTGTCACAATGTCAGCCAATTAGCTTTGATGGTGTAAATATTGTACTGACCTAGTTCTACAGGTTGGACCAGATTGTGCAGATCGTTCGCGAGGGCCAGACTCGCAAGGCACCAATTGAGCGTATTGTAGACCACATCACGGGTGTATTCGTCCCGGTTGTTACTTTGCTAGCGATTGTTACGTGGTTGATATGGCTTGCCTTGGGTGTCAGCGGCGCCATTCAAAAGAGCTATCTGGATATCAGTGTGGGCGGATGGAGTAAGTTTCTTCCAAGTGGTTCACTGAACTTTGTACTGACATTAGCTCTGTAGTCGTCTGGTCTCTCGAATTTGCAATCGCAGTATTTGTCGTGGCGTGCCCTTGCGGCATCGGCCTGGCAGCACCTACCGCGCTTCTCGTGGGATCCGGCCTTGCAGCCAAACATGGAATCTTGGCCCGCGGAGGCGGCGAGGCTTTCCAAGACATGGCCCAACTCGACGTCGTTGTGTTCGATAAGACCGGAACGCTTACCGAAGGTGTCGAGCCCCGAGTGTCTGATGCCGAGATCCTGCTTTCATCGGTGCCTGAGAAGATGCTTCTCGGAATTGCCGCAGAGTTAGAATTCGCATCTTCTCACCCGCTCGCGAACGCAATTGGGCAGTATGCGGGGAAGCATGGTGCCGTGCCTGTTGCTGGCAGCGCGTTCGACGAAATTGCTGGTAAAGGCGTCAAAGGGAATTTCGAAGAAATACGTCGCAAGGCGATAGTAGGAAACGAAGCCCTGATGCGAGACCACGATGTACTGCTTTCTCCAGACGTTCTCCAAGTGCTCGAGAGGTGGAAATCTGAGGCGAAGAGTATCGTCCTCCTCGCTGTTACGGTTGCGAACTTTGACAATAAATTCGTCGTCGCAGCTATATTCGCTGTGTCGGATCCCATCAGGAAGGAAGCTGCTGGTGTCATACGGCATTTGCAGGAGCAGGGCATTGGGACATGGATGCTATCAGGGGACAACGAGACGACTGCAAAAGCAGTCGCGAAATCGGTGGGGATTCCTGAAATGAATGTCGTCGCTGGTGTCCTGCCCCAGCAAAAAGTTTGTTTCTGATATTCGAATCCCCTTCATGTAATCTGACCCATCCCGCAGGCAGAAAAGATCGAGTGGCTGCAGCACAATGGCACGAGACGTCCATCTTCACGATGGCAGCGTATGCTACCCAGGTCAGCGTCAAATCAGCGATGTATCGTCGCAATGGTTGGGGATGGTATCAATGACGCGCCCGTAAGTTCTCTGTACAAGTTTTTGTATTTAAGGTTGACTGGCGTCAGGCACTAGCAGCGAGTGACTTGGGGATAGCCATCGGATCTGGAAGTGAGCACCACCGCTTGCTTAACGATGTACATACTGACATACTAGTTCTTCAGGTGATGTCGCGATATCTAGTGCTTCATTCATTCTTGTATCTTCAAACCTGAAAAGTCTACTCATTTTGAGCAATCTCTCGACCAAAATCCTCAATCGTGTTAAAATTAACTTTGTACGTTTCTTCAATCCCGTTACTACCACTCGCGATTGACTTGGTCCGTAGCTTTGGGCAATTATGTACAATGTGATTGCAGTCCCCATCGCTGCTGGTGTCGTATACCCTGCTGGACACACGCGTCTAGCTCCCGTATGGGCTTCATTGGCCATGGCATTATCGTGAGCAGCTTGACTGTGGGGTATCAGCGTGTACTGATCGGTTACTCTAGCTCTGTATCTGTAGTTTGCTCCTCACTAGCACTGAAATTGTACAAGGAGCCAAAGATACAGCTTTAAAACAGTTCAATTTCTTTTGGCAACATTGTAGTCAATCTGTTCTTCTGGTCTGTATCATTCATGTCATCACTATATTACTAGTCTATTGTATGAATGCACTCTGTTACGCCTATGATCACGATCTCTGCGTTGCAAGAACCTCTCTATCCTTCTTCAAACGATAAAACTCCGAAAATGAGAGTCGTATGCCAAGGAACCGGCAATCCAAATCTGGGTGCGACTGCAAGGCCTGCACGATAGTTTGCATGCGCTCGCTAAATGTAGTGCTATATTCCCTGAGGAGTTTGCGAATCTGAGAAAGCGACTGGGTGTGAGCGAGCGATGTCGGTGCAGTGTACACTCCGCGGGCGGCATCCCGCGCTTGGTCTAACCGCACTGACTCAGCCAGGGTGTAATTGTAGAAATTGTCCTGTGGTAATTCTTGTCAGGAAAGAAAGACGTGCACCACAAGGGTTGATAAAGAAATGTTTACAATTGCCTCTCGGAACTGAAGGATTGTCGAAAATACCTCCCGAATTTGGGTCAACAAGCTCTCCTGGTATGACGATAAGCGCGTTTCAAACATGCTTGCGAGCCAAACTTACCTCTCTCCCTGCCTTGGGGCTGATTAACAATACTTTCTTGACCATACGATCAAGATACGATTGATGAGCATCGATCATAGCATCAAGATCACCCTCCCGTCTCGCAAAGAATTCCATGAGAGCCTTCCACGAGCACTCGATGACCTCGAGCTGTATGTACGCCTGCATCTGGCGAATAAAATGGATCATTTCCGAAACTGTGATCCGGATCTGGTGCCAGTCATACTCCAATTCTGTATTGCGCGTCAGCACTGCAACACTGCAGCAGTCTATGACAGGAATAAAACATCGAATGATCAACTCACCTTCCAACCGCCCTCTGACTCGTCCAGCACCTGCAACCCTCATCCAGCCACTGCTCAACGCGCCTTCTACGCGCTTCATCGCCCACAGATGTGCAAAGATCCGTTTGTACTTCTCTAGAGACCCGGGGTCGAGCAAGGTATCGAGCGGCGCGTCGACCTTGTATTCGAGCGTGAAGACGTCCCACCCGAGCTCGCCGTGCGTGTATTCTAGCATGCGAGCATCGAGACGACGGAGAACATCCGGTGGGTCGTTTTGTGCGCTTGAAGTGCGGATAGCTGTCTCGAGCGTTGCTGTGAGGTTGTGTCGGTAGAGGGTATTGGCAGGTCGGGCAAGGGAGGGCCTGTGTGCCCATTAGCATGAATGAAATGATGGAATGAGTTACGTACCCAAGTGATTCCATAAGTTGCTCAGCAAAGTCACCGTAACCAAGGAGGAGGTAGTGCTTGAGCGCAGAGAGGTGATCGAGGAGGCGAAACTTTTCAGTAAAGACTTCAAACAGGCGAGCAGAGGCGGTGTTGTATGCGCTGTCGATACTGCGTTCCAGTCCTGCGATATCGCTGTACTTGAGGACTATGGGGAAACATGAGTATCAACATAAAAGTGAGTGGAAGTGCAGAACGCACTTCCGCCCGTATTGCTCATCTTTTCTCTCGTTGCTACCCAATCCGAATCGTGGCAACTGTATCTGATAAAATTCAAGCTCTTGCCCGTCGAAAAAATCTTTCTTCCAAAGTTCTCGCCCACAAACATCGGGAGCATCTCTTTTCTAAAGCGATACTTCGCTTCCCATACGCGGAGACCGCCTCCTCCATCGCTTCTGTCTGCGCTAACAGAATCCTCACCAAATGCGTCGATGCCCCCTGCAAGACTTGATGGATGCAGTCCTTGAAGATGCGCAAGTGATGGGTCGACTGAAACGAAGAATTCAGAGTGCGGGTCGTAGAGCTCGCCGGAGAAGAGCCATTTGTGCAGTGTATTGAAGAAGGGAGTGGATACCTGAAATTTCATTATATTAGATTCGGGCCAACTATCACAAATAAAGATGCTGCACCTCTTCTAGAAGTTGGTCAGTAAATTTTCTGACAAACGGGTCCCCGTTGTCGGTGTATGAATGGATGAGGTTAACAAGTGCCCCACCCTGAGCGTCATGAGCACCCTCGACACAGACGCTCATCATGCGCATGCGGAGACGCCATTCTGTTATCCAGACGTCGAGGCGTTTAAGTGTGAGACCAGTCTCCTCCCCTACAGGATCCGATTGCGAGCCTGGAGCTGAGTTAGGTGCGTTGCCCATCTGAGACTCTAGAACGGCAATGAGTCGGTAGTATTCTGTAAGCAGCGTCTGGAGGTGATGGCAGAGGCTTTGCTCGATCATGCCGACGGATGGCCGATCTTGTGTGCTAACGAACGCAGCTATGCGCGCGTAGAGATGACCTACCTCAGAAAGGCGATGAATGAGGGATTTAGTTGAGGGAGGGATGATATGTTTCTACGAGTAAGATGAGCACGATAGGACATTCATTTGAAATCGCTCACAGAATCCTCGACAAAAACGAGTTTTGGCTGGGCGTCATTGTCTGAGAGCGACAAGTGTACATATTTTCCAGAAATTCCCTGTAATAGATATAATGTATCGCGAAGAAGTAAGTGTTCGGGGAGATGGTGTCGTCCTTCATCAGCACTTGAGCGCTCTGTCCCACCGCGTGTTCAATGGAATGCATACCAGTACGGGCGCGATACTCGCGCAATATTTCTGCTTTCGAATTGCCCTTTGACATTGGTGAACGCGGAAGGTGAGTAGGACTAGCGGTAAGAGTCGTGGACGGACGAAGCGGGGCTTGGAGAGACGCGAGGAATGGACTTGAGGTCGGCTGGGGTAGGGAGGATGCGAGAGAATAGAGAAAGAGGAGGGACTCGTGTTTACGAGAGAGAATAGGCTATGCAGAGATAAGACGCGTGGCCGACACGATCGGTACACTCACTTGTTCTAGTAATCGTGAGAGGAGATTAGTGAACTTGAGCGAGGCATTGCTCGGAGATTCAGATTGTAACACTGCAAAAGATCAAGGTCACACCTAGTAATACGCGATTTTTGGTGGTACATACAATGCCTTTTTATCTGTGCCGCTAAATGACCAGTGTCATTCTCGTGTGCGGATGCCGATGTTACTACAAAGCAGGTAAGTGACATATGCCGCAGGCTGGAGTAGAGGGTTGTTACCTTGCGAGGATATCCTTGCAATGTGCTATTAGTTGTTCTTTGAGACGTGTATTAGACCGAATCTGGGGGACAATGGACGTGACAAGGCTCTCGATTGACGCGCTCACATCGCGCATCGCAGTATACGGTTTTAGATCACGCGGGGTATGTTAAAGGCCACTTGCTTACAAAGCGAGCAGCCAACTTCAACCGCTTCAGCCTTTATGTAACTTGATCATATATTTCCTTTGCCTTGTTAAAAGTCAGGTTTCTCTCGTCATCGCGTTTGAGCAGTGTTGAGATATGCATGATCACCAGCACTCATGACAACCGATTTGCCCCGGGCTTGTGTTTTCCCTGTTGTGTCGCAGTATTCCGAATTTCCTAGTCTCTCTTCGTCACGTTGGCGTGACGTGCTGGCCTATCACAAAGCCACGCTGCTGTGTCCATTCAAATAACTCGCTCGCTCATTTGTCCTCGATTCTATCACGAAACTGAGCTCATTCATTGTCTTTAATACAGATAGACTCACTCTCCACGTTCACTTAGCGGTCCATTGAATACGCTGACCACGGAGGCCGAACTAAGATCTGGATCGCTGATGCGCATGTCAGTCACGCTATCTTTGATAAATGCACAAAAGATGACCTCAATTGACATGATGTAGACGCTGATCAAGCAATAGCCAGTTGAACAACCTGCATTGGATTGACGTATCGGGGCTACGCGGAAATCGAGGGTGTAAATGGGGCAGAGAGGCCACCACGAGACTTCTAGTAAGCTTCATAATATCACTTGAACACTGGTTTATCTTGGTAATAGTCAATAATGCGAAGGCTATGAAGATTCTAGGAGTCGGACTGCGAGCGAATGCACTGATCATTTCCGAAGATAAAATGATGGTTTAGTTAATGCTCGTGTCTGAGTGTACGTAGGAACTTGTCAATATTAACCTTCAGGTGATGGTGGCCAGGCGGCAGATCAGGGAGAACACCTTCAAGGAGCTTCAAGTCAATACTGATTGCCTCAGGCGCTTCATGTTTGGTCTTGAGGTGCAACAGCATGCGAGGCCGACAAACTAGGCGAAACTGCGGACTTAGTTGGAAAAGATTTCAACTCGTTTGAAGCACTGCGAGATGGCACGCGCTGACTGGCGCTGATCATGGAGCGTAATATGGAGTGATTCGAACGATCCTTTGTCAGTAGACATCCCAAAGTCCTCGGGTGAGATCTTACACGTCAATAATGTGACCAGCGGCCTCCAGGAATAAAGCGTAATAGCAATGCCTGGTCAGTCAGGATGTCATCTGCTATTTTTAAGGAGTCTGTCCCCTGAATCGTCTTCGGTTGTCTTCCCTGCCTGCCAGTGCAACACTTGTACATGTCGGACTCTCCTCTAGGAGCCGTCTCTTCTGCTAACGTACCGCACCAAGATGGAACGAATTATCTTCATCCTCAGCTCACAAGTAGCCAATGCAGGGCTGCCGAGGCTTTGGATAAGACAAACGACGAAGTGCATGATTGGGAACACGATTCAGCGAACCCCAGGAATTGGCCTCTCGCAAAGAAATGGATGACCACTACAATCGTCAGTTCTTCCGCCAGAAAGTTCAATTAACTAGGACTGATGTCGGCATCGTGTCAGGCCTCGCTGTACACGCTTGTCACGCCGTTAGCAAGCGCTGTCATGGCACCTGGTTTGCCTGACTTGGCTGCGAAATTTGGCATAACCGATCCAACAGTCTTAGCATTGACGCTAAGTATCTTCATCCTGTCGTATGCCATTGGTCTATTATTTGCGGCACCCTTGTCGGAAGTATACGGTCGTGTGTGGGTGCGTGGTGCTCTTCCTTCATCTGATCGAAGAGACCATTTACCTGAATGAGTGCAAAGGTGCTCCACCTAGGAAACCTATTCTTTCTCGCGTTTAATCTCGGCTGCGCTTTGTCAACCAATACTACGTCCTTGATCGTGTTCCGGTTCCTAGGTACGTTATGGAACTGTTATAGCCACAACTTTTACTCATTCTCTACGAAGCTGGATTGGCGGGGAGTGCACCTGTAGCATGCGGCCCAGGTGTCATTAGCGATCTCTTTTTGGAACGCGAACGCGCCTCAGCTATGGCACTATACAGTATTGGACCTATGATTGGCGAGTCTTGCCCTGTTTTATGTTGTGCGACGTTGACTGAAGTTCACACACAGGCCCCGCTATCGGTCCTGTAATGGGGGGTTTCATGGCAGAGTCAGTTGGTGTACAGTATGTTTTCTATGTCATCGCTGCAATCTCTGGTGCTGCCGCAATACTCGGCATCCCTCTCATGAGAGAAACATATGCACCGCTTATCAGCCATCGTCTTAACACCAGGGCGCTAAATGCCGAAAAAACATGTGTAGGATATCCTGACCTCGCCGCACATCATAGGGACAAGTGGGCTTATTTATGGGTTAATCTCAAGCGACCGGTCATTCTACTGACCCACAGTTTTATATGCTTTATATTGAGCTTGTATATGGCTTTGTGAGTTTAATTTGGTGTCGTGCAGCTCACTGATGTCATCTATTTAGGATGTACGGTCAGTACTATATCGAATTATATTGGATGCAGACTGAAATCGTATGTTAGGTATCTATTTCTTGCTATTTACTACATTCCTCGGTAAGATCATACCTGGCCAGCATTACAGGAACCGTTATTAACAATTTTCGCACAGACCTCTTTGCAAACGTGTACCATTTCAGCATTGGAATTGGAGGTTTGACGTATATTGGTGTTGGTTTTGGATTCGTAGTCGCCACCGTGTTTAGCGCCAAACTTTCAGACAAGATCTACATATACGTATGTCTTCCTTCTACCTTGAACCTGCCAACTCAATCGCTAATTTCTATATCTAGCTTACTGCAAGAAATGGAGGAAGGGGTCGACCAGAGATGCGTGTGCCTGCTCTTATATTCGGGTCGTTTTTTGTTCCAGTAGGACTGCTGTGAGATTGACGCCTTCGTTCTTGCTCGAGTCTGACATGTATTAGTTGGTATGGTTGGTCTGCCCAAGCCAAGGCCTACTTTATGATGCCCATCATTGGTACCTCCATCTTCGGATTCGGAATATTGACATGTTTGTGGGTGTGCCTTCCGTGGTTTGGCACTGTTCACGCGTTCATGTTTGACCTCTCTAAAGCCTCCCTATCCAACTGTATCTCGTGGATACATTTACATATGCTGCAAGCGCTACTGCAGCCGCTTCTGTCAGTTTTCCCTTAATGTCGCCTGCATTCGCTGAATACGTCATATCAGGCCTTCCGTTCATTTCTTGGGTTCGCATTCCCTTTATTTGGACAACAGATGTTTGCGATGCTCGGTTATGGCGGAGGTAATACGCTGCTTGCAGGTTTTGCCATCATCATTGGTATGCCCTTCCCCGTGTGGATATATTTCGCTGGCGAACGTATCCGCACGAAGAGTTCCTTAGCTCATTGATCTGCTTGTCCTTTCGACCGAGGCAATTTTGTGATTATGGGAGTTTGATGATTACGCCGAAAGGCGGAGATACTGCTCAAAGGTTGTGTTTAAGCAGAATTTATATAGATCATGAGAACTCTAGTAATCAAGCGTCACGGTGCTTACACCGAGTCGTGAATTCAAGGTGGACACTGGATAGTGTCTACCACAAAGAATTTAAGAATTTAAAGAAAGGACTTTAAGCGCTCATTACATCAGCTACCCTTAGGTTCAAGTTATTCCTGGTATACGTACTAATAGTAGAGTGGAGCGACGCGTTGTACTGATGACTTTAACACGACATGGAAAAACCAAATACGCTAACACCATCGACCACCAATGCTCCTCCGTCGTCGCCGTCCAAGCAACGTGATGCTTTCGCGTACCAGACTCGTCTGCTCCAGCGTACTGCTTCTCGATCATCAACGAACTCTCGAAATTCGTCCATTTCATCGCGTCCAACATCCCTCGTGAGCCCAAATACAACTGGTTCTAGTCCACCTGTGGTTTCTACTACTCGAAGATGGACACCTTCACATCGACCGGGCGCTAGTGTTGATACTGTGCGCGACAAGTGGGAGGAGCGCGCACGCGCAGAGGCTGTACTTGACGAACGCAGGTCTGTCAGTCCAACAAAGCAAAGCGAAACTACACCCAATCGTTCTAGCTTGGGTCGTAGCGATAGTATCTCCTCATTCACAGATTCCAGTTCGCAACGTGCTTCAACTTATCTTAAACGACATACTTTTTCTGCTTCCCTTCCACCACACATAGTAGCAACTCCCTTATCCCCGAACACTACTGGAATATCTGTCGTCAACCCTGACTCGTCTACTAACTCATTTTCGACCCCGACTCCTCATCGTATATGCCTCCCGACTACAGCATCTCTTCATTCATCATCATTATCTGATATCAAGGAACTCGCTGATCATGATATACCTGCATCCATATCCCTCGATTCCCCCTCCCCACTCAAGCGGAGACCAAGTACCGTAAACAGCAACACACTAGATTCTGCTCCCCGTGATCTAGTATCACGGATAGCTGACCCATTCACATCGACGGTGATCAACACTCCGTCCAGCCCCTCAAAGCCTTTGTTCACACTTGCGACGCCTACAACTATCTCCCGCCGTCCCACGTCGCTCTATGGTGCACAGTCTTCATCTTTTCCCTTCCCAGAAAAGGAACCCTCCCCCGGTTACATCTCTGCAAGCCAGAATCTTAACGACCATACCTTACGACTTCCAAGTCGTGTTTCACGAGTGTCCGACAGTAACCCTCCAGACCTCACATCTAAATTGACCGACCTTCCCTCCAGGATATCTGCATATACATCCCGATTTGATTCTCGTTCTTCTGATTCTACATCCCGTTCCGCTGAGAACGTCTCCGCAGCTGTCCCGCCAGTCGTGGACCGCACTTCCCGTACCCCTGAGATTACACCTCGGGTTGCGGAATACACTTCGCGTCTTAACTTTTCTGAACGCCCGTCCCCATCTCCTACGCACACCCCTACGTCCTCATTCTCATCCACTCAGAATTCCTTCGTATCCACATCTTCTTCGACCCCTCCACATACGCCCAGTTCTTCCACCACATCCACCCCATCAACCTCCTCTTCTGTAATGTCACCGGCCCCTTACCGCTCCTCATACATGTCAAAGAAGTCATCAATGTATGGGCAAATTGCTGGGCACAAACTAGGACGCCATCTGCCCCGCATTGCGAGCGGGGATGCCGATGATAACTGGGTCGATGAGCAGAAGCCAAATCCCCCACTGCAACCTGAGCATACTCCCGTTCCTGTGGATGATTCACAAGTGGTGTTGCGACGAACACGTCGTAATTCTAGGTATGAGCCTCCAGCGTCGCCTATCACAGAGGAACTCGTAGCAGGGATGTCAAATGCCTCCGATGTTACTGGAATTCCGGGGCGGTTGCGTCTTTCGCGGGATCAAACACCAGCGAGTCCGACTGCACCGACAACCTTCTCTTCCTCTCGCTTGACGAGAGGCCTATGGGCCGATGTGCAGAGACACTTGCTGCAAGCGTATGAATATCTGTGCCATGTAGGAGAGGCACAGCAGTGGATTGAGGGTTGCCTTGGAGAAGAACTAGGTTTTGGGGTGGTAGAGATGGAGGAAGAAATGAGGAATGGAGTTGTGCTAGCACGGCTTGTCAGGGTTTTCAAGGGAGAAGGAGGATTCAGAATTCACGAGGTGCGCTGGCATTCCAAGATCGTGTGATCGAGCTTGAACTCCGATTGTTTACAGGCCCGAAAGTTAAATTTCCGCCACTCGGATAATATCAATCATTTCTTTGTTTTTGTCAGGGAAGTAGGATTGCCTGAGGTATGTTGCCACGCCTCTAACATCGGATATGACGAGTAACAATTTGCTTAAGGGATTCATATTTGAATTGACCGATCTATATGAGAAGAAAAACTTTCCCAAGGTCATTTACTGCATACACGCACTTAGGTGAGCATCTCCCGATCGGCGAATATTTGAATCTGCTAATACCTCATAGTCACCTCCTCGCCCGTCGTGGTCTCGCCGAATGTATCGGAGATCTTCTCGGCCAACTTCAATTCTCCGATGACCAGTTGCAGAAGACGCAGAAGGGTCTCACTGACGCAGGTATACCGATGCCTAACTTCGGCAATGTCGGCAGAGAATTAGCAAAGGAAATCAATGAGGAGCCTGATCCACCACCCCCTGAGCCGGAAGAAAGCGAAGAGGAACGTGCGTCCAACTTTGTTTGCTTTCCGGATGTCTATCAATAGGCTGAATTTTATTCATAGGGCGCGATCGTCTGCTCTTGGAGAACGAGGACTCGATACGCTCGGTTCAATGCCTAGCCCGTGGCTTTCTGGTCCGCAAGGCACAGGCGACACAACACGTCCGTTTGCGCCTAACTGAACGATACGTTCCTCGTCTGCAAGCACATCTCCGTGGTGCTCTCGCCCGACGCATAGTTTCTGTCTCCCGTCAGCAGACGCGTGACTCGACGCCCTGGGCTATTCGTTTGCAGTCTGCTATCCGCGGCGTACTCGTCCGTCGGCGCTGGAGAGCATACATCGCTCGCATCAAAGCAATCTCTCAATACGTAGTCAAGACTCAGGCCCAGATTCGTGGCGTCCTCGTACGTCGGCGATTCGAGAAGCTGAAAGCAGCCCTGAGGAGCACCCGTGCAATCGTGGTGAAGATGCAATCAACCGCACGCGCCAAAATCGTGAAGCGGAACCACAGTGAAGTGGCCAAGACATTTGCACGTGCGGAGGTAGCATTGTCTGTGGTGAATGTCCAAGCTGCTGCGCGCGGCTTCCTCCTCCGGCGGACGCTTGCGAGAAAGCTTAGAAGACTGGACGCAGAAGAGGAGACTATCGTGGATTTGCAGGCACAGTGCCACGGTGTTCTTGTGCGGAGACGTATACGGACGCAACTTGCCAAGCTGGATGATGTGTCTGCAACTGTCGTGCGCATACAGGCAGCTGTGCGGACTTATCTCGCACGCAAACGCCTTCTTCAGCTCATCCGAGGTTTGCGACGCGCAACTCCCATGCTTATCGGTCTGCAAGCCCGTGCACGCGCGAGTTTGGCTAGACAACAGCACCGTAATGTTGCAAAGGCCCTCTGCGAGGTGAAGGTCGTAGCGAGCGTTGGAGGGTTCCAGGCTCTTGCACGAGCTGCGATCACGCGGAACCGCCACCGTGAACAACAGAAAGACTTAGAGTTTGTTGCTCCAGATGTGAATGGGTTTCAGGCGGTGTCACGGGGGTACCTTGTCAGGAGAGACTATCGTGCGTGGCGAGACCATTTACGGCGGAGTCAGCCTGCAGCATCAATGCTGCAGGCTTTGCTACGCGGAGTCCTCCAGCGGAAGAAATTCCGTGCGAAGATTCAGTATTATCGCACGAATCTTGATAAAGTTGTCAAGATCCAATCACTCTTTAGGGCGAAAGAGACTAGGGAACAGTACAGGCAACTCACGCTGGGCAAGAACGTCACCGTCGGAACGATCAAGAACTTCGTGCATTTGTTGGACGATTCGGAGTCAGACTTCCAGGATGAGATCAAGGTGGAGCGGCTGAGAAAGCGCGTGGTAGAGGGCATCCGTGAAAACCAGGCTCTGGAGAGTGATGTCAGTGATCTCGACGTGAAGATTGCGCTTGTCGTGCAGAATGTGAAGTCCTTCGAGGAGCTTATCAAGGCGCGGAAAAAGTACGGTGCAGACAGCGCTGCTGCTCACGCTACTAGGGCGTCCATCCTTGCTGCGCATGGAGACCCTTTTGCTGGACCAAATACTCTTGACCATGCAGCGAAGAAGAAGCTTGAACTGTACCAGCAACTATTCTATCTCTTGCAGACTAGAGCAGAGTATCTAGGTGGACTCTTCGTTCAGCTTTCTGATGAGATAGCGGAGAAGCACAGGCGGTTGGCAGAGCGGGTCGTGCTCACCTTGTTTGGATATGGTCAGGACCGAAGGGAGGACTATCTCTTCTTGAAGCTATTTCAGGTGCGCCTCACGCAGTTTGTGACGTCTGGTTATTGATACAGTTATTTTAGCTTTCGATCCGTGCAGAAATCATGGCTGCGCCGTCGATTTCGGATGTCGTACGTGGACACCCAATGTACATTAACATAGCAGTACAGTACGTCCGCCCACGACAGGTGACGTACATCCGTGAAACGTTGCAGGGGATCATTCGTGAGCTCCTTGAGGCTGTCGATCTTGACCTAGAACCTGATCCTACTGTGGTAAGTATTCCTGGCCTTCTTGTACGATGATGTTTCACGTTGTCTAGATCCACCGATCGCGCATAAATGTGGAGGAAATGCGATCTGGAATTGCAAGCACGAAGCCCAAAGATGTTCCATTTTACGAGGCATTGAAGGACCCTGATACTAGGGCTGAGTACATCAGACGCACGTTTTTATTTATTTATTTTTGAAGTACTAGTGCTTATTGTGATACATTTACAGATCTTCAGAAACTTCAGTGGTGGACTGAAGCCTTTGCTGTATCCATATTTGAGTCGACTCGCAGGATGCCCTACAGCATGCGATTCATGGCGCGTGAAACGTTTCTTCAGTTGAAGGAAAAGTTTCCTGGAGCGCCTGATGAAGTGTACGCAGCCTGCATTGGCAGGCTGGTATATTACCGGTACTTGAATCCCGCCATCTTGTACGCTTTCATCTTCCTTCTCTCTTAAACAGGGGCAAGGGCTCATCACCCGGATTTGCAGGTCGCCTGAAAACTTTGATATGGTTACATCAGTAGATATTGCAACCAGGAAGAATCTCGCGCAGATCTCCAAGGTTTTGACGCAGGTTGCGTCGGGCGCTGAGTTCAATGATGATCAGCCTAATTATGTGCCCATCAACGAGTGTGTGCGCACGTTGATCACGCAGATGACCAATTGGCTAGTGCGCAGTGAGTTGCTTATTATCATTGTGTTGAGTGTGTCTGGTATTCATCCCCTTTGATAAACAGCGGTCGCGGATGTCCCCGATGCTGAAAGCCACTACCATGCCCATGAGTTCTTGGATGCTACAGTACAACCAAAGCCTATTTACATCTCTCCGAACGAGGTGTACGGTATGCATGTCTTGCTCTCGCAATATCAAGAGAAATTGGTGAGTGCATTCAATCGGGAAGAATGCTTTGAGGCTGAAGACTATACAAGTCTCCTGATCGACACGATGCCTTGCGTGTTATTCTGCACGAGCTGGATGGTGTACCTCATATTGATAACGATGAGCTCAAGGATGCCAGAGATCGTGCGGTCACTCTCGAGCTGACGAACAGGTTTGCTCATGTCCGAGGTAAGCTTAGATTACTTAATATCGACGACGCTTGCTGATGGGAATGCAGATCCACAAGCTGACGAGAAAACGCTCTGGGTACAGGCGAAACGTGGTGTGCTTGCAATCTTACGTGTCCAACCCGCTCAAGATCTTGTCGACTCTTTGATGCGTCCTGTGAGCGATGACTGATGAGCTTCGCTGGGAGAACATCTTGGCTGAAATGGATAACGAACCAATGTCGCGACGTATGCCTTCAACTTCTGCAGGCGAGTCTGCATATAGGCTAGAAGATATTCGATCGTGAGTTACAACGAGAAGTATGGAAGACATCGCTTGACAAAAATTTTATAAGATTGTCCTTCAAAGAGGTCAAATCTCGTGCCATTGGATTCCTTCTTGAACTCGAGAAACAGGGAAAGATTACGCGCAACGACGGATTCCAGGGCATTCTGAATGCCATTGCCAGTGATGTGCGCAGCAAGCACCGCAAGCGGTTACAGCGCCAACAAGAGATGAATAGCATGGTAGACGCCCTGAAGCACCTTTCTGAACGGAAGAAGTATTTCGAAGAGCAGATCGACAGCTATCACAATTACGTTGAAGCTGCGATGGCGACCATGCAGCGAGGCAAAGGGTGAAGATCATTCGTGTTTGTGCCCTACGTTATGCTAAACTCTTAAATAGGAAGAAGCGGTTTGTTCTGCCGTTCACAAAGCAGTACTTTCATCTGCGCGACTTGCAGAAGTCGGGGGAAAATCCTCAGTTTGGATCTTTCAAATACAGTGCGAGGGATTTATACGAGAAGGGTATATTACTCTCCATCGATAAATTCTCTCCCCGTCAGTTTGATAAAATCGACATCACCATTTCTTCCAACAAACCTGGCGTCTTCACTATGGAAATGTTCAATCACACGCTGGGAATCACCAATCGGATAGCTTCCACTGATCTGCGTATGGAAGACTTGTTGCAAGCTCAGTTCGAGAACCAGGCTTCCCTTTCCTTATTCAATGGATTGGCAAAGGTCAACATTAGTTTGTTGCTCTACCAGATCAATAAGAAGTGAGTTCCCTTCACCTTCCATGTCTCTTTGTTTTGACCCTTTTCACTTTCAGATTTTATGTGTAGTCGGTGCTTGCTCTCGAGATGGACTCATCTTGTATCTACTGATATTTTTTCCTCTGCATCTTGCATTATGAATCTTCGCATTTTTACTTGTAGTCCATCATACAATCATGTATTTCTTTGCATACAAACAGCCGTACGAGTCGTTCCGAACCGTGCTCGATTACTAAGCTAAAATTGCTATGTATATATGGTAATCAGACCTGGATAGCATTACTAACTTGGGGTCAGTTTGGTGTCATTCTGATTAGTCTCTACCTTCTCTCCCAAAACTGATCATAATGTCATGCACACAGTCGCGGTGCAGCATCAACACAAAGTCCTACTATCGGGCCAGACGACAGGAGCCAAGTTGAGCGGCAGTACCCTTGAAAAAACGTGATCCCAAACTCCAGTGCATCACGATTTTGATCAGTTATGAACTTGTATCTTTGGCTCTCTGTACAGCTTGAGTGCGAGAGAGGAACAAACCACAGATACGGAGCTAGACAGTACATTAGTATGGATCATACCTAGTCAGGAGATACATACGACAATGCCATAGCCAATGACGCCCAGACGGGAACTAAACGCGCGTGTCCGACAGGGTATATGACGCCAGCAGCGATGGGGACTGCGATCAAATTATACATAAATGCCCACATCTACATAATGTATTCAATGACGAGAGGTGGTGCAGAGAGAGGGACGAAACGTACGAAGTTAATCTTGATGCGGTTAAACACTTTTCTCGACAGGTCGCTCAGTGTGAGTAAAGTTTTGAGGTCAGAATTTAAGAGAATGAATGAAGCACCAGATAGTGCGACGTCGCCTGTCATCGAACTTGGTAAGTATGCGCTCTATTAGCGGTTGGATGAACATTAGAATTTACTTCCACATCCGATAGCTATTCCTATGTCGCTGATAGCCAGTGCCTAACGCCAGAGTCAATATAAAACAAAAAAACGAAAACATGCATGAAAAACTCACAGGCGCGTCATTGATACCATCCCCAACCATTGCGACGACACAACGCTCGTTTGACGTTGACCTGCCTAATGTACGTCGCCATCTTGGAGAACGGCGTTTAGCACCATTACGCTGCAGCCACTCGATCTTTTCGGCCTGCGGGACAGGTCAGATTACGCGACGGGGATTCGAATATCAAAAACAAACTTTTTGCTGGGGCAAGACACCAGCGACGACATTCATTTCAGGAATCCCCACCGATTTCGCGACTGCTTTTGCAGTCGTCTCGTTGTCCCCTGATAGCATCCATGTCCCAATGCCCTGCTCCTGCAAATGCCGTATGACACCAGCAGCTTCCTTCCTGATGGGATCCGACACAGCGAATATAGCTGCGACGACGAATTTATTGTCAAAGTCCGCAACCGTAACAGCGAGGAGGACGATACTCTTCGCCTCAGATGTCCACCTCTCGAGCACTTGGAGAACGTCTGGAGAAAGCAGTACATCGTGGTCTCGCATCAGGGCCTCGTTTCCTACTATCGCCTTGCGACGTATTTCTTCGAAATCCCCTTTGACGCCTTTACCAGCAATTTCATCGAACGCGCTGCCAGCAACAGGCACGGCACCATGCTTTCCCGCATACTGCCGAATTGCGTTCGCGAGCGGGTGAGAGGATGCAGATTCTAACTCTGCAGCAATTCCGAGAAGCGTCTCCTCAGGCACCGACGAAAGCAGGATCTCGGCATCAGACACTCGGGGCTCGACACCTTCGGTAAGCGTTCCGGTCTTATCGAACACAACGACGTCGAGTTGGGCCATGTCTTGGAAAGCCTCGCCGCCTCCGCGGGCCAATATTCCATGTTTGGCTGCAAGGCCAGATCCCACGAGAAGAGCGGTAGGTGCTGCCAGGCCGATGCCGCAAGGGCACGCCACGACGAATACTGCGATTGCAAATTCGAGAGACCAGACGACTACAGAGCCGATGTCAGTACAAATTTCGGTGAATCATTTGTGGAAAACTTACCCCATCCGCCTATACTTATATCTAGATAACTCTTTTGGATGGCGCCGCTGACACCCAAGGCAAGCCATATCAACCATGTAATGATCGCCAGTAAAGTGATGATCGGGACAAAAACGCCTGTAATGTGGTTTGCGATACGCTCAATGGGTGCTCTACGAGTTTGGCCCTCACGGACGATCTCCACGATTTGGTCCAGTCTTTAGAACTAGGTCAGACAAACAATACCGTTAGAATCGAAGTTGGGTGACTAACAACGTGACACCGCCAACAGCGTCAACTCGAACATCTACAGCCCTGGACTTATTTATTGTTCCAAGAAAAACCTTGTCCCCGATGTTCTTCTTAATAAGTCGAGCCTCGCCCGTCAAAGAGCTTTCGTCAAAGGATGTCTCCGCACCGGAGATGATTGTACCGTCTGACGGTGGCGTCGCACCATTTTGCACACGCACTACATCGCCAACCTCCAAGAGGTCTACAGATACCTTCTCAAACTTAAATCCAGGAGATGCAACAAGGTCACCGTTATCCCACGCTACGTCGCATTTTTCAGGGTCATTCCATGGAACGACCGTGGGAACCATAGACTCAGAAGGAGGGCAAGGAGACAAGATAAGAGCTTCGGCGGGGCGAAGTGACCCAAGTGCAGTAATGGCATCTGCAGTCCTAGCTTTACTGTATGCCTCAAGGTAGCGGCCTAATGATTACGGTAGATAAGGAGGCAAGATAGGCAACGCGCGGGTTCCACTCACCAGCAAGTAAAAACATAGTCAGGAACACGACATAGTCGAAATATGTCGTTTCTTGCCCTGTAATACCATCGCTCGAAGGTGGCTGTACCGCCGCAAGACCTAGAACCACAATCGATGACAAATAGGCCACAGTTACTCCAGTAGAGACCTGTTCATCGTATCATCATCGCATGAAAATGCGGGCAACACGGCGCATACCAAAAGGTTCATACTCCCAAATTTAGTGAAGCGCTTAATTATGGGAGTTGTGCTCCCTTTCCTCCACAAAGTTCCAATTTCTTTGATACTCCGGCGATGGAATGTGCCAGCGCCATAAAAGTATACTGGGGTTGCGAGGAAGAAGAGTACCCACTCGATTAGGGACGCGTTTCCATTCCACATGGGCTTCATAAGGTATAGTTTCGTGGGATTGCTGGCGGGGAGAAGACTCATGTAAACGACACCGATGACGAACGTAGGTATCGTGATGATGAATGTGAAAAACAGGTGTTGCAGCAAGACTCGTTGCTCACGTCGCTGCATGTGACGCGTGCGTTCTTCAAGAGTAGGAGGGCGATGAATCGATACACTGTACGACGTCGGTTCCACGGACATGATGGCGGAGGTAATGGAGCGGATGGTGAAGTCGGGAGGCGATGGCATATACGAGACTTCTATCACGGAATCCAAATGGTTTGAGAATGGTTTGAGAATGGCGACGTCGGGCTGGAGGCTTTCTAAGGCGGTCATGATTTTGGATGGACAATGCCTGGCTCGCAAATATCAGTAACTCTGCATGCGACCGCGATAAGATTAACGCACTGGCAGTACATTCCATCGACACGAAGGAATAATTTCCTATGACCTGTTGTCACGTTATTTGTTGATGTCAATGGGGTGAGGGGGTCGATTTTGATGACATCAACTTCGAAGCCACAGTCGTCGATCGTTTTGGTCACCGAGCCAACGAGATCCTTTCGAGCAACAACAACTGTGGCAGAGTTGTTCAGGAGGCTAACGACTACTTCGGAAATACCAGGGAGTTGTGAGACTATTTCGGTGATGGTGCCCGTACATGAAGAGCACGTCATACCACCCACTGACAGGGTGACGAGATGCGCTACGTCATCAACGCCTACCATGTGCAACGGGCTTATGCTCGATTCTTGGTCCTCCAGCATGGAACGATTCGCTTGAGAAATGTTGTCAGAACTTAAACATAGACGGCCAGTATTACCCTGCGGAAGTGGTGAAACAGTGTCATTGGATAAAATGACGGCCGCCTCCTGACACCATAAACAGTGTTGTATATGCTTTCGACGTTTTCCAGGAAGGACAGTGCTCGTCCCCCACGATGCCTGTAAAACTGTGTGCTCGGAGGAACTGGAATCTGGGTCTGATACATCAAACCCAGCATCCTCGAGCACGTAATGTATGGTGTGTCTGGGTGTTGCAAGGACATGCTCGACTGTCACCAACTGATTCACGATGGATATGTCTACCCTTGTTGGAGGAGGAGAAAGAGAGAAGAGCACTTTGTTGATTGTGCTTTCACAACTGAGATAAAATCAACATTAGTAGAATGATAATCACAACCACTGTATATACCTGCTGCAGTGAAGGTTGGATACAGAGACGGTGGTTTTATGGGTTTCGGACGGTGAATTCATCAGATAGTGCAGCGTTTTTCGACTTCGGTGCGATTAGATGGACTGGCCTGGGGAGAAAAGATGGGGTAAAGAAACAGAATATGCCAAATTGGTCGTAGGGTCCGCCAGCACATTATATAGAAAGAAATTCAATTGCTGCTACAATATCATCCTGTTCAGTTCATGCGTCACCCCCACGATCCACAAAATGCCTCACAGACGGGCACAATTGCCTCATATGGTTACGTCAGCGGGCTTGGCATTACAAAGCACACTCTTGCAGTTCCTGGCCTGCTTAGCACTTCATAGATATCAGTATGGGATAAGTAGTAGGAACGGACTAGAAAAAATGACTCAATCATGAATCCTGTTGACAAGAGACTGGAGCTAGGTTGTCGACAGGCCGCAGAATGCTTGGGCGATTAAAGGGACCCCCATAACTCACTTCGAAAGCAATCTATTTCGACTAAAATTTAGTTGGTCATCAGACAAAGCACTTACTTTCAAACCCTTGCATTACCAGCCGAGGTCCCTCTTGACATATACCTTGCCATCGTGTGTGCACTGCAACCTTGTTTTGATTTTCAGAAGATTGAGAATTTCCAAATGTAAAATTTCCTCTCTAGATCATAAATTTGAAATCAACCTCCTCATGGCTCGAGGTTGCTGATCTGGTTGGGCCGAACGTTAGTAGCCCTGGATGAGACGCGAGCAGATGGAGCTGGTCGGGAGGGCGGGATACCTGCTTACGAATTCAATCGTGTCAAGTGATTCGGACTCTCATTTCGAATTACTCTTTGAATAGTTTCAAAACAGGGATGAATGCAGCATACTACTATAATAATGCTCAGTCACTTAACAAGGAACTATGAAGTGTGAATTGAGGTGCAAAATCGAAAAGGAGCGGTCGACGGGTATGAAGCAGGATCAGTAGGTAATGAGTGCCAGGCTCATGGCGGGGAGAAAAACGAAGTAGGAAGCGAACAGCGCAGGAGACAGCTTTCCGGGACATTCCGGTGGGCCACTACACCCGGCATCTGTACATGTCCTTGTCGTGTGCTGTTCTCCTGGCACGCCTGCAGGTACGTTTGCTCAATTGCTTTTCAGTATACGTCGTCGTGTCAAAAGTTTAAATTAGTTGACAGGACTACCGTGACGGTGCCTTTAGGCTATACAAATCTATTGATCTCTCATGTTCAGAGACAGGCAATCTCGAATTTCAACTTTCTTAAACTCTCCAGAACGTCAATCTCCTCGGTCAAGCTCAAATGTTACAAGATCTTCCTCTTGTTCTTCCATTGCTTCCAGCGATGAACGGGCGCTCTTCCATGATATAAATCGCTCCCCTGTGATCCTCGGCATCTGTGCAATGGATATCAAAGCCAGATCAAAGGCCATGAGAGAAATACTCACGCGACTGGTTGGGAGAGCCCACGGCGCCATCGAAGTCAAAGTTTTCGGTGATAAGGTTATTCTTGACGAGGGTATGTTCTCTCCCTCTTTTGCTGTTCCTTAATACCGTCACTGCCTACTCACGCTCCTGTCAGATGTCGAAAATTGGCCCCGTTGTGATGTACTCATCTCTTTTTTTTCTACCGATTTCCCCCTAGACAAGGCCATATCTTACGTCAAACTGCGTCACCCCTTTTGCATCAACGACCTTCTACCGCAAGCTTTACTATGGGATCGTCGTTTGGTCGGAGCTATTCTCGACCATCTGCAGGTCCCGACACCTAAGCGACTAGAGGTTTCTCGCGATGGTGGTCCTCAAGTTGATGCAGAACTCAAAGACGCGATGTGCAAGAAGCTTGGTGTCACATTGGGTGGCTTTAGAGTGACCCCTGAAGTTTCACTTCGCCAAGATGGAAATGCCATCGTCATTGACGGTCAGGTCCTGGAGAAACCCTTCGTGGAAAAACCTGTGAGCGGTGAGGACCACAACGTTTATATTTATTTTCGTGGCGGTGGAGGGCGCCGCCTCTTTAGGAAGGTATGCATCGGTTTAACGGGCCTCCTACACGTTCCTCGACTTATCTCTTCTGCTACTAGGTCGGAAATAAGTCAAGTGACCTTGATCCTTCATTGAATCATCCGCGGACGGACGGATCATATATCTACGAGGAGTTTATCGACGTCGATAACTCTGAAGACATCAAGGTTTACACGGTCGGCAAGGACTACTTTCACGCTGAAACTCGGAAGTCCCCTGTGGTTGATGGCGTTGTCCGCCGAAACACGGAAGGCAAGGAGATTCGGTTTGTCACTCAGTCATTTGTAAGCCCGTCGCTCATCGACGAATTAGGTTTATTACCCATTTGAGTGAAAAGGAGAAGATGTATGCGGCGAAAATATGTCAAGCATTTGGTCAGAACGTTTGCGGCTTCGACATGCTTCGATGTGAAGGAGGCAAGAAAACTCAGATTATCGATGTCAATGGATGGAGCTTCGTCAAGGGAAATGAGGGTTATTATGGTGAGCGAACATGCAACATCCATGTCTAGTCGGCTTTATGTCTGATTATCGCCACTTAGACAAGGCTGCCGAGATCTTGGCTAACCTCTGCATCCATGTGTCATCCTCGCCAGAACGCCCGATACCCTCAGCAGACACCACAACCAAGGGACAGCCACCGACATGGATCCTCAAGGCAAATGTAACAGTCTTCCGACATGCCGACCGCACGCCCAAACAGAAGTTGAAATTTAATTTCCCTATTGGTGACGTATGGACACAGCCTTTCGTTCGGCTACTCAATGGAGAGAAAGAGGAAATAATCCTTCGTGAGACATCTCAACTGAATCTCATCGCCCAAGCAGTCGAGGAGGCAAAAGCTCTGGGTGCGAGTGGCGATGACCTCGCGAAGCTCACGCAGCTCAATACTGCGCTCTTCAACAAGATAAATTTTCCTGGGACGAAAGCGCAGCTAAAGCCAGTGTATTCGAAGAGACAGGCTGGACAGGCAAGGAAGTTAACGAAGCTGACACTGGTCTTCAAATGGGGCGGTGAAGTACGTCGACTCTTGTACCATTCACTGTTGATGCGAATTTCTCGGCACAGTTCACGCATTCAGCAAGATACCAATCCCGCGACCTGGGAGAAAATATGAAAAAAGATCTGACTATTATGAGTAAGTACATCAAGATGAGGAGGATGGTACAGTTGACCTTTGTGTTTAGATAAAGAGGCTCTTCAGAATGTCAAGGTTCGTTTGCGATTTGCCTATGGAGATAGTGATATTCTAAAGTTACCATCCAGATCTATACCTCTTCCGAGCGTCGCGTGATTGCATCTGCCGAGATTTTTGCTGCAGCACTCGTCGACAACGTCTCTTCAAGTTTTTCCGCTTCTTCGTCGACTCCTCGCAGCTCCCTTTCCTCCCGCTCCTCTCAAGATGGAAGATTGAGCTCGCAAGGGGTAACACCTCCGGAATTGATCATCCGTAAAGACCTTCTCGACGACTCTAATGCAGCCAAGGACTTGATGGACGACGTGAAAAAGCGCCTTAAGATATTGCTAAGACCCGGCGAGCCTGAGAAGCGTCCTGAGCTCACTTGGCCAAAGAGCATGAAAAAGGAACCGGTCGAAGTTGTCAAGGTCCGTCGACGCATTGCACATGTAGAGGTAATTCGAATGCTCACGCTATATCATTAGGAGGTCATCGAACTTTTAAGCTCCTTCCGGGCAATCATGCGTAAGAATTTCGAGACCATGGATGTAGACACGATTCAAGAGCGATGGTATAAAAATTTATCGACATTTGAGCAATGTCAGGCTTACGGATATCTGTAGGTGTTGTGGTGACGAACCTTGGTTGTTCAAGGAGCGTTGGGACAAACTGTTTGAGGATTTCTGCGATGTCGAACAAAAGAAGTTTGACCCCTCTCGTGTAAGCGCCTTGTAATGTGCACTCACCTGGTGACTGATCTATGTTGATCTTGCAGGTCTCTGAGCTTTACGATACCATCAAGTATTGCGCACTGCACCACCGAACGTTCCTGTTCTCCATCTTCGACCAAAACGCTGGCCATGGCCAGGATCCGAGCCAGACTCAAGACCGCAAGTTGCATGAACTTTACGGGCGTGCTAAAGCTCTATTTGATCTAGTGGCGCCACAGGAATACGGCATTGAAGCTGATGAAAAGTGTGACTTGACAAACCATGATTTGTTTGTATGAAGTTGAACTTTGTACAGGGAGCAGATTGGCGTTCTAACTTCATTACCACTACTTCGGAAAGTCGTAGAAGATCTCGAGGCTGCACGAAACAATGGTGCCAGTTCCTTGACCCTTTATTTCACCAAAGAAAGCCATATTCATACGCTTGTCAATCTCGTGCTACATTCCGGCCTACCGATTGCGAATAGGCGGATACCCGAGTTGGATTATTGTGTAAGTTCAATTCATATCTGAGTCTGGAAGGTGAGCTGATAAAGGATTCTTTGTAGTCCCATATCACGTAGGGTAATTCATTGTGTCCGTTTGCCGACTAACCTCCCCCCTAGGTTTGAACTCTACGAGCGCAACTTTGGACGCGGGAATTCTGATAAGGAATATTCGATCAGACTGTCCCTTAGTGAAGGTGCTCACTCGTCGAACGTCCTGGACTCCACTTTGGATGCACGCCATTCTTTAAACGTACAGCCTCGAAGGTGACAAATTTCAGTGATCATTAAATCCGCCTTATGAAGCTAATGACTTTGTAGAAAATTGACGCAGCACCTTCCATACAGCCTCGTCATCGAGAAACTCTCTAAGAATTTCGGTAAAATTAAGGAGGTATGTTCCACCATTAATGTACTGGAACACATCTCACGTACAAGTGACACAAGCAGGACGATGACACGGGAACAGATACTCCATTCGAAGCGAATAACTTACGCGGGCATTTCCCCAGTATCAACGATACTAATAGCAGCAGTGACGATAGATGAACGCCCTCACTTGGAGTTATAGACTCCGAGGTGGCGTCCGAACCATGATGAATACGTCTATCGCGAAAAATTGCGCCTTAATCGGACTATATTATTATATCCCCTGTAGTAAGTTTGCGTACAATAGGTGTGCGGATGACTAGTATACCATACTTCATATAGTAGCTCGTGATAACCACTGGTGCTCATTTTGAATCTTCTGTGTGGACAGAAAGGGCCCCGAGTACCTCTTCAACTTCGTTTGGTTTCAAAGGGGTGAACTGTAACGAGTGGATCTTCTTTGAACCTGAAGTGTCATAGAGAGCACTGGGAGATTGAGATAGCTCTGCAGATTGCTTTGCTAACGTCGCAAAAGACGTTCGATTATCGCGATAGCTGTATACAATGTGAATATTATTATCTAGAGTGGCGAGGCTTATGGTCACTTACAGCCTACGAAACTATCAGCAAAGGCAACTCTCGGGACGTTTGTAACTCACTTGAAAGCTTCTTTGTTCAAGGCATCTTCTTCGTGGAGCTTGTCTAGAGTGGGCTCCTTGAACGTGCTCTTCATAAAATGCAAAACATGATGTATCTGATGTTCTTTGGGTCTGGACACGCGTATTAGCTCCTAGTCAACCTGCAGCAGAACTTGAACGTTATGAACCTCCATGGTCGGAATCGAGGTGCAAGACTGTAAGCTCCAGTCCGAGGGTCGACGAGGGGATGGAAAATGTCCGTCAAGAACCGTACCGTCGGGGGTCGTTCAGGATAGTCGTTAGAAAATGATATGATGAACTTCAGCACAGAATCCTGGTAGTATCCTGACAAGAATATGAAACCGAACGGCGCACCAGTGAGTGCTGAGAATGCTGACCTTTGTGTACAAAGAGAACAGCATCCCACATCAGGGTGTTCTCCGCGGAAGGAGTAATGTACATGCCAGTTGGACAATGATTGATGTTTCTCAGCGATGCATACTGGAAGTTGAGAGTGGCACGGGTCGCTGGACTTATGATGGATCCATGTACTGAGTCTGCAGCTTGGACGATCTTTGTTGAAACGCTCCTGCCTTTGGCAAGACTAAGGTCGATTGTGGGGGAAGGAACGAGAGTGGCACTCGGCATGTCTATGGTGTCGAAAGGCAACCTGCTTTCATACGATTCTAATCGACAACAAAGCTAAGTGAGGGCAGGTCGGAGTAAGGTGAGCACCACCAGTGCAATATTTGATATCTCAATTGACAGATAACCTGATGAGGGTAACTTTAGGCTAAGTACTAATGAGATTTGCTAATGGTTGTTCACTAGGGACGCCGTCCCGGATCCTCCGTGTGCGGGACGGTGACCTTAGTATACAATCCAACACGCAAACCGAGACAAGCTCGACTTCAGGGTTAAAATCATCTATGGTAACCACCTTTATACCTAGGTCCACTGTTCCCCCGTCCATGTCCCCGGTCCCGGTCCCTGTCTTTGTCCCACTCTCGCGAATCTCGTTCGCTGCCGCTCTCGGTCACGACCTGGGTCTCTACGAGAATACTCACCATCCCGATCTCTAGCATTATTTGACGCTCCACGTATGCGGTAAGACTCTGGTTCCTTTGATGGACCGTGGTGGTCACCGTTCCGCCGTCGAGGACTGCGGTGAGGGTTATCTCCTAACCTATCAAGAAGACTCTTGCGAGGTGGATCTGGTGGAGGTAGCATGAACTGGCGTCCGACGTCCTTCATCGAATTGCCAAATTTTAAAGCCTTTCGACCATTTGATGCAGGTTTGTCATTCCCGCGGTTCTTCATGTTACGGGGATTATTGAACCAGTCCCCCGTGTCATCATCTTCTTGATCTCTGAACCTCTTTGCCATCTTCTCCTTGTCTTTGTTTTTCGCTTGTTTTCCAACATTTGTAGGTGCATCCATACCCCAGTCATCAGGTAAGGTAGGTCTGTCTTCTTCATTCTGCAACTCTCGCGGCCCACGGCGAATGCGAACGGGCTCTGATGCCGGGTCATAAAATGGTCCAGACATAATATTGTGCAGGCTGAAAGCTGAAGGCTCCGTGGGTATGTCAAAGACAAAATCGACCTCGTCGCAATCCTGTAAAACTTTGTCAGAAGATGAGCTAGGACTGGTAAGAACACATACGTCTCCCAGGTGTCCTGGATTTCCACAATTATAACAATACAGCTCCAATGCAATGTATCCCTCGCCTCCTTTTCCGAATCCAAGTTTCTTTTTTTCCTCCCTGGTCTGCATGATTTTTACGCGATCCTCGTCTGCAACGTACTGGTATATTCTCCACAGCGTAGGACATTCCTTGTCGAAGTTGGGACATGAACGGCAAAACATTGAAAATCGAACTGCTATCTTACATTCATCTTGTGAGCTTTTGATGAGCATCGGCCGCAACAATCAACCATATCTTCTGCGAGCCTTGAATGCGAGAAACGATTTGGGCAGGTCTGAAACCCGTAAGACTGGATGTGAGATAGTTTACAAAAATTTCACCTTGTTAATATGACCTTTCATGCCACAAGTGTAGCAAGTCTTGCTAATAGGACAGCTCCGCGTCGAATGTTCGTCACGAGCACCACAAGTCAAACACTTTGAAGTGGGATGAGCAACATTAGACCAAGGCACTGAAAAAACTGACCACTTGAATCGGACATTCATACGTCTTATGCTCGCCCTCTGCACCGCAATTCTTGCATACAAAACGCGATGGTTTAGTGTGAGCAGCTTCCTCTACTTCCGTATCGAAGTATCGAACGAGCCCAGGTGCCTACGGAAGACATGAGCGACTTCTCGTGATCATAACTACTGATGGCTGCACCTTCCTATCTTCATAGTCAAGATATTCAATGTAATCTTCCTCCTCGGAATCAATGGGTAGTTGGGGAATAATTTCAACCGGCACTGTACTATCCTCGCCAATGCTCAAGATAGAAACATGAGAGGGTAGTAAAAGTCGGTCTGCTGCACTTGTGGAACTTTCTGGTCGGGAATTTGAAGTTTGTGTAGGCTCTGTAGCCACGGGAGCAGGGGTAGCGTCAAAGAAGAATAGTTCCTGGTCAGAAGGTGCTGGGGCTGGTGAGCGACGTTTTGGAGACGCTGATCGCCTTCGGGAAACAGTTTCAGCGCGAGGATCTGCGGTACTTCGACACTCGAGAGACTGATTTCTCGAGCTGGTAACACCATCGCATGTAGGACCTTTGGACTTTCTCCCTTTTCGTGGCTTCCGCTTTGACTTGTGCGAGGATGAATCTTCCTGATTGAGAGAGACCGTAGGTATTTCTCCGTCGGATAATATCTCGATGGAATCTGGTGATGGAGAAGAAACCGTGAGGTCTATAATTTCAGGCATTATAATAGCGGATAACCACGATGGCAAGGTCTTGCATATAAAGGTGCAAAAATGCGTAAAAATGTGTTGTAACTTGTTGCACCTTCAAGGAAACAACGCGGGCTGCAATTGCACCCGCCTTGTGCAGACCACACAGGTTCAGCACCATACGTGGTACTTGGACAGAGATTATGATTGCAACTCTTCTGCTAATCGCATCTAGAGTTGTACAGTACACATATACCGGGGACTTGCAGACCTACTAGTACTTTCCTTTCCTCACATATCGGACTCATCATACTTAAATATGCTTGTCCGATTGCAAGCAATGTGTCCAAATTCTCCAGATAGAAATCGTTGTATTTAAGACGGTGCATGTTGAATACATTGTGGCTTGTAGTGCTATTGCTACAGGTTGTTGAAACTGAAGGGATATATATAATAGTGTTGCGATACAGTGCAAATGATGCGTTCACGATACAACTCACGGCAGTGTGGTAGTGTCTTAATGACTATAATCATATCTTTTGGAAAATCGTCAATATTATAGTCAGGGATTAGTTGCAACAAACCACACCCACTTCTTGTAGAACGTCTCAGAGTCTGAAGGGACGGTCTAAAGATTCATAAATCAATCGAGTTGTTGCTAAATGAATGGGATCAAAACAAACCCCATCTCTTGCACCGCGACCTTTCCGCCCCTGTTTCTCAAGTTCTCGGCGGTATTCACGGTCCTCTCTGAGCCACTGCAGAGCAGTGTTGTATAATGTGGGAGATTGACTTAGAGGACCGTTGGTAAAGCCTGACGGCCATGCAGTGGGTTCTGTGTCAAAGGAACCGAAACGCATGTGGGCGACGTGAGTAGGGAATGAATTGAGTCCGTCAAAGATATGTGTTGCGTCTGTGAATATTTAATTAATGCTGAAAAACTAAAGAATTTCTGACTCACATATAATGGTAGCTCCACGAGCGATACTATCGTTTCGGAGGAACGTAAGTAACTCGTCACGAACCATGACATCAAGGTCGACAGTGACCTGCACGCGCGTCGATAAGACAACCTCACAAATACGGCCTGAAAGAACGTACTTCATCTAAGAGAAGAACATCCCATGGTGCCATGAGGCCCATGCAAAGTTGGACGCGGCGACGTTCTCCATCGGAAATTGCGTGCATATGCCAGTCTAAGTCCACATCTAGAATGTTTAGAAGTTTGTCTCTCCTTTCCTTGTGTCTATATCCTCCCACGGAGTCTAAGAAGGTGGATACCACAATATCACTCCGGACTACTGGATTCATTGCCCTGGAGAAGAGGAAAATTGAACCTTGGATGACGAATTACGGTTGTGATGAGAACAGGAAATCACCGACCACTCTGTACCCAAGAAGGTAACGCCGGGCGGTGAATCTCTGAACACATCCAGGCCTTTGATACGTATCTCAGCATCTTTGACTAGTCTTTTACCCGCCAAAATCTGCAGAAGGGTAGATTTCCCGGCTGGGTAAAAGATCAGTAAGGCGGCAAGGGTGGTAAGGGACCGCTTACCTCCATTGGCGCCAACCAAGATTGTTCGGGACCCAGGTGGGAGATGAAAAGTGATGTTATCCAAGGAAGAAGGCTCATGAGGAACATGATGGTAAGTCAGATGGTCGACTGCGACTACATACTCAGCGAGTTCAGACATTGGGAGAAGCAACAAACAGAGTAAATAACTAAATTAAATTAATAAATGTTTTCAAGCTCGTGGGTATTAGAAGCACAAAGCCTGGGCGTCGTTGGTAACCCATAAAAGTAAGCTTGTGCTTGTATAATAGACAAGTCATGAGTATCACACCGTGTTCCTGGTTCGCTGGCAAATATCAGATCGTGGGAAGACGCTCGTCACTAGGCTTGCCTTTCAACTTGGCTATTGCAGGCCATCTTTCTCATCTTCCACCATCGTTGCTTGCAGTGAGCAGCTGTGGTAGGAATTTAATAGATCCAATTATCGAAACGAAATCCGGTTTTAAATTTCGTCAAATCACACTCATTTAAATTTACTGTTTCTCTTTTCTACTTCTCTCTGCAGTCTGCAGATCATGTTCCTAGATACAAGACAATGTGTCACTTGTCCTACAGCTCCTCCATCTTGCACTTGCTCAGCCGATCAGAGCTGCATCCAGATAACTAGGTATGTTCGTTCCATCAGTAATTCTCATTATATTTGACCACCGACGTCGTACTAGAACTTGCAATGCCTGCCCAACATCCACTTGCCAGGCGAAGACCACTGCCACGTCTAGTAACGATGGTGGTGTCAGTTCAGGCGCACTCGCAGGCGCAGTCATTGCCATCGTTCTGGTCCTTGTAGGGGCTTTGGTACTCTATTTCTGGTACCGTCGTCGTGCCAGTTCCCGTAAGGCCCTAGAGCAGGCTCAGGAAACCAAGGACGAAGCTCCCGCCCCTGCAGAAGCAGTCCTCAATCGCCCAGATCCCACCGAAAAGCCACAACCACCGATGCCTTCCGACCCCAACACCGCTAGAGTGTTCATTTCAGCTTCGGACAGCGTCATCGACCTCGATCCGCAATCTCGGGGTCCATCCGTGACTGGCACTGCATCTCTCAATGTTCCTACTCCTCAACCCAATCCCTTTGACGATGGTAACTCTATACAGACTACGTCAACGGGTACAAATGGCACAAACGTCATCCCTATTGCCTTGGTATCCCCTGGCTCTGCATCAGCTAATTCTGTGACACCTTCATGGCCTTCGGGATCTGCTGCGACTTCTTCTCCCGTCCGGCCCGCTCGGGCACCCGACCTGTCCTTGAATGACAATGCTTCTGCAGTGTCTGACGAATCTTTGCGTGGTCCAAACCCGCGTTACGCACAGAGTCAGCGCTCAGGATCGTCGAGGATGTCATACATGTCCAACGCCAGCTACTCCAGCGATTTCCTAAATGAAGCACCAATGATTATCACACAAGGCCAAGGTGTTCGGCAGGTCTTGGGAGTCGTCAAGGCAGAAGTTATCCAGACCCCTGGTCCATCCACACCCGTATCATCACATTTATCCGTGAACAGTATTCCGTCTGTTGTTTCTCGCCCTTCCATTCGTTCACCCCTTGCAGCCAGCTCTTTTGGCCCCGCTGATGCCTTGGACGAGACAGAAGAAGAGCCTAATACATCGCAGCGCACCGACCCGTTCGGGGATCATCACGAATTTGAAGTCCACGGTGACATTTTAAACCAATCACGCCCAGTGTCGGAAGTTTCACTCCAATTACCCCGTCTCCCGTGGTCTACTAATAGCGGAGAGAGTCGTCCATCCAGCGTCAGCACTCAGGCCGGGTCTATTATAGATATCAGCAGTGCCACGCGTGTCAATGTTGGTTTACTGTGCCAAAAGAACCCCGAGAAGTCGCCCAGGACAACCATGGGTAGACTGGTATCACCGGCTTCGGCACAGACCTCCCGCCAGCCAACATTCCTAGAGGAACAGCAGCAATTAGCCTTGGCACACGCACATGCACAAGCCCGTGCCCAGGGCTTGGATCGCAAGCGAATCTCAGGCTCCTCGGTTGTTTCTGCTACCTCAACGCGGGCAGACTCTATTCTCGAGTCATTCCCCTTCGTCCCTCCTTCGCCCATTTCATCACTTCCTGTCCGTTCTCCGCCTCGTTCTCCTCTACATCAACGGTTCTCTGCTACACAGTCACATCCTCCAGTCTTTGAGGCAGCACCTCTTTCACCATCCTCTGCACAGGTGCAGGATATTACTCCTCCAGACGTACCAGAACCCGCAGAGACGCAACTGCCCCCGTTAGACCCCCCTCCCAGCCGCCGGACCTTGGGACTGTCCACAGTTTCCCAGGTTTCCACGGCATCATCTGGTCTTGGGCCGTTCCCATTCCAGATTGATTCTGGAAGCAATGATGGTAGCACATCACTATCTGCTTTTCAAGGACGTCAAAGAGCCAGCTTGGACACACTGGCACTGATGAGTGATTTGTCTTCATATCCTCTTAGCTACGACCGAGATGAACGAGAAAGCTTTTCTCGACAAATTACTAAGGGTTGAAGAGCCGGTAACCGTGTGCTTTCACTATGGATGCCGCGCTTCTGGACCGCTTCGACCAGCTGGTCTGACGGGGTTGGGTTAGGGTTGTGTACATGAATTGTTGTATTCTGGACTTTCTCCTATGCTTGGTGTGGGCTTTAGCGCTCTCGATATTTCGGAAGGGTTTATCTAGGTGGTGCTTACAATTTCGCTTGCCAAGCTCTGCTTCTTCGCTGAACGATTTTCTTTTTACCTAGTGGAAGGGATTTCATTCTTTGGTCCGTGTTAGTCATTTATTTATACAATTTTATGTCTTTAAGCTGCAATGTTGGCTAATTCTGTTTTGTGACGAAAATGTCACATTGCAATGTCATCACACCTTACAATAAAGCGGCAGCGCTGAAGCTGAAGGTAGATCCATCACCGTGAGCGTAACGGTATACATATTAGTCTCTTGCAGTCATCATGGATAGAGAGGTCCGACAACTGGTGGAGATGGTAAGACCCGGTTCCGTGATTCCAGCCCAGCACCATGTTAACTGGCTGGTAGGGTGCATCGGAGGCACAAGCTCAGGCTGCTCTTCGTCGGTACAAAGATGTGATGCAAGCAGCCGAGCGGATCTTCGAAGGCGAATTCGTCGACGTAGAAGAGACGGATGAAGATGTTAGTATGGAATCTACTGCTCCAGTAGCGCCCGTCACTCCATCACGAACGCCGCGTAGTGTTGTATGTAACTCATTGCTATTCAGGAAATGGTCTTCATCAGTTTTGGTTAGACACCAGATGAGGACGAGGATGAGGATGGAGAAGGGGAAGATGACAATGACATAGACATGGATGAAGATGAAGACGAGGGTGAGTGACTTCCTGGGTAGTTCGCTCCCATGTATCAATCGACTTTCAGCGGATGACTATGTCGATTATGACTCTGATTACGACGAGAAGGCCAAAACTGTCGTCGAAGCCGATCCGTACGCTGGCGAGTACACTTTTGTGTTTTTGTCCCTTCGGTGTTTTTGATGGTTTTGAAGGTGTCTTCTTCTCGAAGGACCGTCGCGAAGAAGTTATAGAAGTCGAAGAGGAACCTGAGACAGCCTTCATGCCGGATACTAACGAGCAGGTGAAGATTATGACTCAGGGTCAGTGGATGAAGGGTTGTCCAGAGGGCGGCGAGCAGGGTTTCTTGTTCGGTCTCTACAACGAGCTAAGCAGCGGTGACTGCCTTTGCCCCCAATCATGTGGATATAGGATCCAGAGATCCAAGAGTAACTTCTTCGCTATCTTTGTGCGTAAAGCTGTTTTCTTTACAAAGCTGAGAGCTGATTTGCATCCAGGCAGATTTCTTGCTGTACGTTCGACATCTTCGCCGTGTTGTAAAGCGCACTTGTCCTTCATGCAAGGCGGATTTTTGTTTCGCATGCGGAGAACCTATCAACACTGGAAGCAATCGTGACACTTCCTCTGCGGTTGATGATAATCTATTCCATTGTTCCAATCTGCAAGGCGTTATATTGGGGATCGGGCTCGCTATGTTGGAATCCACCTTCTCTGAGCAGCGTCAACAAACCTCCGAAGAGAGTTCTCAGAAATTAAAAACGAACAAGAGACGGAAGACCGATTTGCACTCTTCTTCGTCTACTCCGAAAGGAGACGATGACGAAGATGATAGCTATTATATGTCTTTGCCAGTGGGGAAGAAGTCGAAAGGAGGCGTTGGTTATGCTGGAGATGTGAAGGAAGATGTGAGTTTTCATGTGAACATCATCAGTAATTATTTTCTGAGAAGATGCAAGACTTCTGGCCAACTAGAAGCTCAGGCCATCCAGCGTCTCAAAGATGAGAAGATCGGTACGATACTTTCTCAAATCCGTGAATATCTTCCGTCTCTGCGCCGAGAAGGGGGCGCACGAACCAGCGACTACATGGTTCACCCTACGGCACTTGCGCATCTTCGCAGACGCTTTAATTATCTTTGCACCACTCTACTCAGGAATGATTCCCTCTCAGACATGTCAGATCGTTCTGTGCTGTACTTTGAGTTATTTGAATGGCTCGAGGTAGTACATTATCAAATCATACATTCAACTGCATTGATTGACGCCTCACTACAGACTATATCCAACCATGAAGCATTGGCAAGTATGATGGCAATGCCGATCATGGTAGTTTCCTCTGTGAAATCCGTCGCACCCAAGAAAGTAGCGAAGGGTAAGGCACCCATACGGGAACGAACTATCATCTATGAAGGTAGTGCTGGCCCCCGAGAACTCTTGGAAGCAATTGTCATCCAAGCGCAAGCTGCCATCAAGGGATTGGAAGGCATTAAGACACCTGACCCAGAGGTGCTTGAGATGACGGAGGAGCAGAAACGCATGACATCGTCCGCAAAGGGCAAGGAGAGAGAATTGACCCCTTCTTTGTCTGATGAAAACCATAGGCTGCTCTTGTTTTGTCAACGGATCTTGGCGACTGCAAGTGCCATCGATCGCTCACTGCGCGAAACTAAAGGCGACGCATTTGTTGACCGATTACACGCTGCACTGCCAAAGATATCATCGGAACCGTTTGATCATTCGTTGATTACTCTCGCTACGTCAGATGAGGCACGGAAAAAGGCTTACGTCGACTGGGCTACTCAAGTTCGATTCGAATATTGTGACCTTACTGTTCCAAAAGAAGAAGACAAGAAAGGAGCAGTAGAGGAGAGCTTGCCCCATTACAAGTTCTACTATAATAGCGAGGCTCGAATGCTTGCCACCTCGGACATCCCTAAGCGTTCTCTAGCTATCGCAAAAGAGGTTTTGTGGGGTTTCTTTCGTCAAGGTTTTTTGACTTAGTAGATCACGCAGCTCGCTGTTTTGACGACGAATCTACCTGTTGCATGGGATTCCTCGGTCTTCTTGAGAGTTGACGAGAATCGGGTAGACATTATCAAGGCGCTCATCATAGGTCCAGAAGGAACTCCGTCAGTACCTTTTTCTCGCTCTCTTGAGCTTCTTTTATCTTTGTTTTCTAGGTATCAAGATGGCTGGTGGGTCACTCACAAAACAAATTTCTCCTGCTCAGAGATTATGCAGTTTCTTGTTTGATATTTTCCTCGGGCCAAATTATAACCAAGCTCCTCCAAGCGTCAAATACATGACGGTGAGTGACTGCCTTGGCTCGAGCATTTATGTAGCTGAGATTCCGTGGTAGACCAACGGTGGAAAGTACCGGTTCAATCCTAATCTCTACGCAGTGAGTGCAAAGACCTAGGAAGTGATCCGTTCCCATCGTTTTTCAGGATGGCAAAGTCTGCCTGTCTCTTCTCGGTACGTGGTCTGGACCTGGGTGGGTTTCTGGAAAGTCGACATTGCTACAAGTTTGCGCTCCTCCACTGTCTCTTATCATCTGTGCTCACACCCTGCAGGTCCTTATTTCTATTCAGTCCATGATCCTTTGCGAGGAACCTTATCTTAACGAGCCTGGATGGGCAAACGATGGTGGTACTCCCCAGTCGAGGCAATGTGAGTGGTCAAGCTTGATGATAAGCGTTTTCCTTGACACTTCTTGGCAGACTCTTCCAATGTCCGGAGGATGGTCGTCAAGACTGCGGTAAGATCCATAAATGATCGTCTGCTCTTGTTTCTTACCTTTGATGTTGCAGATGCTTGGTAACCTTAAGAACCCTCCAGAGCCTTTCGGCGATGTGATCCGTACGCACTACCGCCTCAAATCGCAGGCCATCATCACGCAGTTAGACAAGTGGCTCGTGCTGGATGACGGTAAAGCAACTATTGGCGACTCGTTCTCCACAAGGCAGGATTCTGGCGGCAGCTCTAATGGCTTTAAGAAAGATGTCGAAGAGATGCAGCAGCTGCTTAGACAGTTGCAGGATGACATGTTTAAGGTCGACAAGTGAGGACCGATGTAAAGCATACCCGGCATGGCAGGACCAGAAGCAGTGAACCCTCATGCATGTATTTAGGTAATCGCTACATGCCATTCGTCGACTTGTATCAATTCATCAAACTCGATTGAAGCGTTGTATTTTATTGTATTAGACCTGTGTGGACATGAATATTTGCACAAGCACGTGTACAGTCGAGAACAATCACATGATAATATCGGTGCCTCACTGGCTCACGCGTTAATGGTGCTTCAAAGCTTCACCTTCTAAGTTCTTGACACTCTCTGTGCCTCTAAAGTCTTTCGTGTTCCAATTTGCAAAGCCTTTGATCAAGGAGTGAAACGGCACAGGCGCCAAGCTCCTTTCATTGATCACCACCAGTTCCAGAATACCGAAAACTGTTCACTTCTAATTTTTCTTTACACACGCAGCATACTAAGCATAATCTTGCATCATTCGCATCATGGTAAGTGACTCTGCCATTCATTCACTCGCAGGCGCTGCCGGTGGCATTGTCGCCATGTCAGCAACATAGTACGTAGCATCTTATTATGCGTGAGTGCAAATTCAAGTAGTGCTTCGTGCTCGCAGCCCACTCATAGTCTTATCGACGCGCGCTGCAGTCAACGTGCAGAATGACTCCGAGGTGACTACAAATCGTGATATAACACCTAGCTGCACCTTGTGCTCATGCATGTTGACAGAACATAGCTCAACATTTCCTCAGGATTGTCAAGCGCGAGGGTATCGCGGGCCTTTACAGCGGCTTGAGCCCAAGTTTGCTCGGGATAGCTGTCACAAACGGGTAAAGTTTCCAGAACGCCCTACGCTGTGTTCTGCTCACACTCATAACATTGACAGGGTGTATTATTATTTCTACGAACGTTCCCGAGAGATCATCCTGAATTCGAGGCAGGGGAGCAAGGCGCTTAGTATGCTGGAGTCGATGTTAGCAGGCGTTATTGCTGGTACGCCACCATCGGTCACCCGTATGGGTGGTGTCGTGACTTTTCGTTGATTGTCCCACATTCTAGGATCAGCAACCACCATCATCAGCAATCCGATCTGGGTCATACAGACGTCCCAAGCCGTTCGAGTCGAACCCTCCCCTTCCGAATTATCCAGTTCACGTGCAGTGGTCAGGCGGCCAAGTATCTTGCGAACAATTCAAGCCATCATCGCTAAAGACGGGCTGAACGGGTTCTTCCGTGGGCTCGGCCCTGCTTTAGTACTCGTGATCAACCCCGTACTGCAGTACACGGTGTTCGAGCAGTTGAAGAATTTTTTGATTAAGAGGAGGACCTCGAAGCTAAGGGCGGAGGGCTTTGGAAATGCGGCCGCAGTCTTATCCGACTGGGATTTCTTTGTCTTTGGTGCACTTTCAAAACTTGGTGCGCTCTCTGAATTACGGGTACAGTTGCAAGTATGTTGACAATGTGCTATGCAGTCGCAACAGGTTCAACATATCCTTACATGTGAGCCTTAACGCTTGACCGCTTTTCAGGCCGAAATCTGACTTTGCACTCAGTGTCCTAAAGAGCAGACTCCAGGCTGGGCAGGCATGCGCAGAGGGATACAAATCTTCTTCCCATGGTCTCGCTACCATATTGAAAGAGGAAGGCATACAAGGACTGTACAAAGGCATCAGCAGTAAACTCCTCCAGAGTGTCCTCACTGCTGCAATACTGTTTGCCGTACAGAGGAGAATATATGAGTTGACGAAGAAGGTACGTGTTTGGATATCTCGGGTAGTATCGACTGAAAGTTGCACCAGGCTATCACGCCACTGTCATGAGTGCTACCGTGAGTGTGTCGCATGCGACAGGTAAGGTAAGGTCTGACCATACTATTCGATAGACAGCCGACATAAAGGTTGAACACATCATTCCATTCTAACGAGAAGAGTGATGATTGTGAGAGATAGGTCTTTAACAACGTTTACCAATCATAGCAGGCGGGTAGTCATACAATACGATGGGGAGAACGCTCACCTACTTTTGCACTTTGATTCAATTTGCTTGTGATTAGCTCAGATTCAAACAAAGGATGGCTGTAATGCTGCTAGTGACTTCAACGTGGATTGATGGATCAGGATATGAATGAGGGGGAGCAGGCTTTCATATACAAGTGAGTGGCAGTACAAAGCTTGGAATTTTGTGGTCAGTGGCGTAGCACTTCAAACTAATAGAAAGGGAATTCCGTAGGCCAGCGGAGTGACACTCCTTACATGATAGCATCGAACACGGTACAATAAGGGAAGTAAGAGAATGTTCAGCTTTCTGTCCATGTGATTTAGTCGTCTCTCGCGTCAGGTCTCTCGATGCCTCCTTCGAATTACTAATTCATGAGAAAAGCTATCCAGTCGCCATCATTCCTGTACAGTTTGTGCATGACAACATAGAGCTGAAATTTGCAAATGGTAGTCGCTAGCTGATCGAGCAAATCCTTCAAGTTCCTGTCACTGTCAGCCCAAAAAAAAGTGGAATAAGTACCAAGAGTTACCGAGCTGCTAACGTTATCTTAATGTAATATCCAGCTTTGCGTGCAGGGTGCCATCGCAGTCCGTATATATGGTGTTGCTAAACAAAGTAGTCAGTCCAACTCGTCAAAAAGAAAGAGTCACAAAATAAATTGGTCGTCAAGAGCACCGCTCCAACCACTTGTTGTGATGCGGACGGAGCTGAGGATGCGTTAAGGGAAAAGACTCACTCGTACAGAAGCCAATCACTTAATGACCAAAAAATGTTGACAAAATTGGATAAGCCCGTGTATTGTTGAGATCTAAGTAGCCAAGGGAGTGCAAAAAGAAGAAATATCAGTACGCTCTGTATTTGTGCAACTAATTCAAAATTTACCCCGCAGGTACAAGCAGTTTTGCCTTTTCATAAGTCATTACCAGCCCTTGAGTTATTTGAGTCAATACTGATAGGCGAGGAAAGAATCCGAAAGATAGTCGCAGACTCACCGTCAACCCCTTCGCACCCCTTCGCGAGACCTCCGATTTCCGAGAGAGTGACCCCTTCGCAGCTTTCCCGCGCGCCTGCGGCGCATGGACCCCTTCGCATGACCATATTTTCACGTACGGGGATCAGAGAACACGTGAACTTTTGCTAAGGCCTTGCAAAGTCCGGTTAAGTCTCAACGTTCGACTCGTTGCGCTAGCTGCCCAACAGCCCCGTCGTTCGTCACCGTTGTCTCATGTAACAAATGTTACTTGCTCTTCGTGCTATATATGATGAGCCCTTCAATTCTAAACTGTAACTTTAACCGTTCTGTGGACTCCGGGTTTGTGGATATCACAGCTGGCGCTGATCCTCAAGCACCTCTTTCACGGATCCTATGATTACACCTTCCTCACGCCTCTCGTCAACGGAGTGCATCAAATCTGCCATCAAAATCATCCGAGATGGTCGTATTAGCATGCCAGGATCAACAATAAATTAATGCCTACCTGTACGAAAGACGCACGCAAGGCGAAACAATAAGCCGATAGATGAAACTACTTTGAGATGTTGCAAAACAGTTGGCAACACTAGCCCTTCCTCCTTCTTGATGCTTTGCCTTAACTTTGATATTGGCTGAATAACTTGTGCATTGGTGGAAAATTGTAAGCAAGGCGAGTAACATGAATGTGTTTTATCGATTTGCGAGAAAGTTTTTCTAATGTCATGTTATTCTAGAGTCTGTTCGAGGTAGTCCAGAAATTCGTGTAGCAATGAGCATACCAATTAACTGCATATCGTGTCGTCAATTGACCGCTGGGACAACATGAAAGCAGAAAAACGACCCACTGTTATGAACACGCTCAGTTTTCCGAGCCAATCAATCCACACATTTATGTATGTTGCTGGCAACCTGTTGATACAAGGTGCAAGGGTAAGTCATGGGGTCGAATCCTAGGTGCAAAGCCGATGGATACTCGCATCCAATTTGCATTTAATACCGTTCGGGTCTGCGCAGCATGGGAATCTGTTTGGGATTTCTTGGTCCGCGCCGCAAGGATAGTGTGGCGGTATGCACTCGTCGACATATTTGCCACTGACGGACATAGATGTTGTCAAAGCAGCAACAGCAGCAAGGAGGAATGAAAAATGCATGTCTCTTGCTAGGTAATATAAGATGCGTCGAGGGGATCCCTAATGATAGTTCTAAGAATCGACAGCCTGTTTTTATATCCCATAAAGAAGTCCAGTCTCAGTAAGTAGGTCCGTCAGCCTGAATGGTTGCTGGCAGATTTGCATAGGCAGAATCACATAGTCCGGGGATGAACGATCTGGGTGTAGGTCGCGTCGCGTCAATAATGAGAATTATTGTTCAGCCTGAATGGTTGCTGGCAGATTTGCATAGGCAGAATCACATAGTAGTCCGGGGATAAACAATCTAGATGTAGGTCGCGTCGCGTCAATAATGAAAATTAAGTCCGCCATTCTGCCAACTGGTTTTGCCTAACCGGCAGATGGCAGAATCCGGCAGAATGTCAACCTACTGTATGGAAAGCAGGACAGCCGTGCTCGTTTTGTCACTGTCACATCACCCATAATAGGTAAGTGCAACATGGGGACACCGTGTACCGCAAGAACCTCTTTCAATGATATATATATATATTGCTTTGTACAACCTGCAATATCAATCAATCCGTTTCATTGGAGTCGGGGACCGGCACTTCCTAGCATTGCTATAATATCTACCAATCATCTGTTTCGTCAGCCTCTTCCTCATCAGAAAACCAAGCAGCTAACCCCTCCTCTTCAACAACTTGCTCAGCAGGAAGTAAAGATGTGTCCGGTTCATCCTGCTCCGTGAGTAAATCCAATTGGCGATGGTCAGATGCATCTAATTTGTAACCGGCCATTTAGAATAGGGCTCGTTTCAATCAACACACAAAACGTACCAAGACATAGTCCTCCACGTACACCGCCCATGTAGTGTGCATCATTGGCACATAGTAACTCCCTCTCATGTTCGAGGAGAGGCAAGGGGTCTTCCTCAATGAAAACATGGATCAATGGCGGCAGCTGTGTGGCAATTTGGATAGAGTGAAGTATATCTAAGTAGACACGCCAGGCTGATTGGTGGTTGACTGGAGGCCGACCAAGGTCATCATAATGGTGTTGAATGTATTGATCAAGTGGTCGAGGCACCAAGTCGAATACGGGATGGTCAGGCTTGACATACATGTGTCGTACATGATCTATGCTGTCTTGATCAACGATCACCTAGTGTGTATCAACATGAGAATGTAATACCAGTAGGAAGAATGAAACTCACCTTGAAGTCCATTGCCCCAAAGTCTTCGGGGGAGTCGTAGATTAGGTTCGGCATGCCATGAGGCAAAATCTAGTCAATTATCATGTGAGGGTGGTGTGTATAACAATTTGCAAAATAAAATACCTTGTTACGATCACATCTTTTCGCAGTATTATTGACGCGGTCTTGATACCTGTCCAATTCACATTGCAGCCATGGAATGAATACCCACCAAAATACCATGACCTGAAGAACATTATCGCTGTCATACCAACCACTTTCCACACCTTCGTCCAATAGTGTTTCATAGCCGGGCATGAAACGACGGCGTAACTGAGACCAGGCAATTTCGGGCATAACATTCTTCTTGCTGCGCATCCACTGGTGTTGCAATGTGCCCTGCAGTGACGAATCGTACATTTGGCGCAGCATGGTGTGCGCATTGGCAATTCCATAGTTCTCAGATCCTGGGTCGCTCTGAGTAATCATAGGAATGTCTGATAAACCGCTGAGTTACTAGCACTATAGGTATTAGTTTTAATGAACTTATGACCTAGTTTCTCAATGGTGTCGAGATAATAAGTGAGTATAAGCTGGGGGTTGCAGTTTGAGTGCCAAACTCGTATCCACATGATATGACCGGAGAATGGTTCTATTCCCGTGTGCAGTGCAAGACCGAAACGAAACCATTTGTCGTGTTGATCCACAGCGAACAAGTCATTCACACCAGCCACCCAGAATCGCCTCTGCTGAAGCTGACGGGCTTTCTGCTGGCGCACAAGGCCTGCCTCGTATGCAGCAAAGTATGAAATAACCACATTCCTGTGATTGCTGGTCAAACTCACAACTGGTCAGTGAGAAACAAATCAGATACCTTGACATGCTCATATCCTTCTTGTGAAACAGCAGTGATACCATTTCTCAAGCCCCAGCGTTTGGATATGCCTCATGAAGGTCTGTCATGGCATCACGGATGGATTCAATGGTGTGGTTTTGCTGCCGGGGACGGGTGAAATCAACAGTCAATGGCAATGGACTTACCCTATTCCGTAGCGGGACATATCAATGATCTTCCGCAAGCTTTCCACAATTGCCTGGTCAGTCTGATGAGCTCTCCACAAGCGCAGGATGTGAGGTGTGATCTCCTCAAGAGGCGCTGCCAGTGCAATTACACGTTAGTTGGACTCAGATAGAAGATCCATAAGTTCACGTACGGGTTGGCTTCCATTGGTTAGGCATGCCAGAATGTTTAAAGTATGGAAGGGTGAGAGATTCTACAATTTCCAAGCACGAAGGCTCTTTTAAGCGCGCCAGGATGCAGTAAGTATAAGGGTTTAGGTATTATTAAGTGCGCAATAAGGCCACTCACTTGATTCTGAACAAAAGGAGTTTCGGATAGGGTGATTCGGACCGATAGGTGCTGCAGGTAATTCCAAGTTAGACACATGGTACTGCGCTGGAAGAATGGAGTTTGCGACTCACAGATAGATCAGATACTTTAAGTTAGTATGTGAATCAGACATGGTGCCTTGACCTCCGAGTTGGATGGTATTGCGCTGGAAGAATGGAGTTTGTGAGCGGGACAGTTAATAGATACACAGGTGACTCACAGATAGTAGATCAGGATACTTTAAGTTAGTATGTGAATCGGACATGGTGTCTTGACCTCCGAGTTGGATGGTATTGCGCTGGAAGAATGGAGTTTGTGAGCAGGACAGTTACCAGACTTGTCACAACGTTCTCATTGATCTAGGAGAAGTGGAGGTGAGCCATAGACTAGGTGGGCCATAGAATAGACTTACCTAGAATTGGGACAGTTACCAGACTTGTCCAATTTCTACATAGGCTGCAGTCATTGTGTAAAAGTCAGTCAAACCGTTGCCTGCAAAAGCCAGCTGCAGTTGTGCACCACCATGTGATTACCAGGAAATCACTCACCTCACTCACTGCGGGATTGCCACAGGCAACTCCAAGTCTGGGTCGTATAGTATGCAGTGAATCCTACCCAAGATTGTCAACTAATTCATGTCAGAGTAGAAAGTAATAGTACTTACCACCAGTAAGTCAAACATGCACATGCAGGTGACAAGTTAGAACATGACGAGTATCACAGTGGCTGGGACTGGCAGCGTGAATTGGAGGGTATAAAGTATCAGCCTAATCTGTTTGTTAGCGCCATTCAAATTAACCTCTTAACAGATCCTTACCATGGAACTCGTCTCCCAATTCACAGAGGACGCTGTCACCCAGGAGGACCAAGACTGTGATAGACCAGCTTGCCGTCAGCGCATAGCCAGAAGTGACCCATGTCATTATGTTGCTAACATAATTCCAGGCCAGCCAGGTTTCTTTGTGTGTGGACCATGTTACGTAGGATATTGGCAGAAGGTTTCATCATCGGTCCGACCTTCAGGTGAGTGGCAATATTGACTAAATTACAACATTAAATCAATACAATGTCTCAGTTCAGCGTGTACTGCCCGTTCCAGTCACCCAGAGCATGCAGAGGCCTCAGGCTCTTGATATGAGTCGTGTGCTTCCGGATCCTCAAATTATCCGTCAAAGTGTGAATGATGCGCAGAGGAAATGTGAGTCTTTAGTCTTTTGGACTGTGCTTGTATTCAGAACACTGAAACTTATTTTGTAGCTACAATCAACCCGCCCCCTGTGGTTCCATTCTCCTCAGGCATTGGCGTCAGTCAGACTCTTGCACAGGGGCCAGATATCCTAGTACCATCATCCTGGCAACATTCACAGAGCTTAGGCCAGCATAGGGTCGCTAGCGGGGGCATTGGCACTGGAGGATATTCTGCCTACCATGCACAATATAGTTCGGAGTGTGAACGGTGGGCCAAACTTTTGTACACTCCACCTCTGGCGGAAACTATTACTTTGGAGGTTTCAGCAGTTCATGAGGGCAACTCACAGAGGAAAGCCGGGCGTGGCATAAACATTGGTGTGCATCCTTCCAGCTTTTCAGTAAAACTCACCCTGAATTTGCTTGCATTAGAACATTTGTGAGGGCAAGAAGGATATCAATGCTTGGATCGATGCACCTGGACTCATCGCTCTCGTGTTGGACATGGTCGTTCCAAAACTCTTCAGTTTTTGCAAACAGATTTCCATGGCGCACTGATGAATTCACAGTGCGGGATGCTGCTTGGGTTGATCTGTCCACACACCAGCCCAACGTCCCTTACTTTTTCTCTCAATGTCTAGTCCCCTCTCACCGTGGGCAGAAGGCGCCAACATTTAAGTCCAAGCAATTCACATTGGCAGTTATTGTGCCAGCGGCGCAATGGAATGAGTATGAGAATTGGATAGAAAAAATTGAAGAGGTAAGAGTATTTATTGAGTTGACGGCTTCTTAATGGCTCATGGCAACTATCAGCATCAGCTTCATCAGTCCATGGCGGCTCAAGACTTGCCTCCTACGGCTTCAACGACTTATGACTTTGAGTATGCTGATGATGGGAACGCTACTGATGGGAACACTATTGGGGATTCTGAGGATGGGAACGGTGTTGAGGACGCTATTGAGGATTCTGAGGATGCGACCGGCATTGAGGACTCTGAACAGGGAGATGACTTGGAGAGCACCAGGGCACCTTCTCTCTCAGCAAAACGGATGCATGTTCGATCAGTGAGTGATTCTCACTCAAGCACCATGTCGCCCCCTCGCAAGAAGGCCGCACCATTAGTGTACAAAGGCTCGGATGGACTTCGCCTCCCTAGCCGTGACTATCTGAGAGTTGCATTGAAGTACGGAGGCAGCACAAATCCAGATGCATCTAGTAAAGGTGAGTGATTACTTGTTATCTCAACACAGGACACTTAACAGCACTTTAGTCTTCGACAGGCACCACGAGGATGTTCAATATTATCCAATCCCCACTCGCTCACTCACCGACATCCTGAAGATGCCGAAATATCATACCTTTGAACTCAACATTTCAGACTCACATATTGGTCAACTCACAATTGATGTTCCCCTCCATAGTATGATAGGAATCAGCGCTTTCAAGACAGCTCATCCTGGGTGGCTCACTCTCTCGCTCATCATTCCAAGCGGTCTTGGATCGCGATCTCAGCATCCTGTAGTCATTAAGCGACCATTCTTTAGGCCCCCATCGGACTCAGGCCGCCGCCGCCACTGCCACACTCAAGATCATGTGATATTCCTCAGCAGATGAACTTAAACATGTCCTGAAAGAAAGTAAGGTCATGTATTGGGCTAAGTCGCTCCTTGACTACACATACAATTACATTGACCATCATATTGGCATCTCACCGACGCCACCACCCTTTGAGATCCCTCGTGTACGTTTTGTTGATGCTGGTGTCGCTTTGGGGTACAGCCAGCACAACGCAAGCTCAAAACCAGGAGACAAGTCAAATACAAAGGCAGGAGCGGTTTCAGCTGTTTTTCTTCTTGAAGAGTCCATCCTGTTCGACAATGAGGAGGAGTTCACCAAGTTCATTCACAACATGGACTGTGTGTAGACGGGATAGTTCTGCTGTTGCCGGTCAGATAGGGTCGGGCGAACAGTTCGTCGGCCCTCCTAATACAAGGAAGGTTTCTGGTAGTTCCTACTGTACGAGCCGCGGCTTCTGTACAGGATCAGCGGCGAGTGGTTTTAGCACTTCTGCCTAGGCGGTGAGTGGTTTTAGCACTTCTACCGCAATCAAAGGTTCCAGGCTAAGGCAGTGAGTGACTGTCTTAGAATCAGAGTTCAGGCTACTAAGGGTGGAGACCTTAGTAGATCAGGATTCAAGGGAAAACCCAGTAGATTAAGTTAAGGAATACATCTATGGTACATGGGGTTTATATAGGTAAAAGGAGACGGCGTAGCCGCGACAAGAAAAGTAACAGAGATAGGAAAAAGAGTACAACCTATCAAGATAGCAAAGATAGGTGAAACCGCCATGCGGCGCAAGATAGTATCTATGTTACAATCAGAAAGAAGAGAAGTGCGGACAGCCCGCTTGATAAGAGAATAGCCGAGTCTAGATGAGTCTAGAATTGGCGGCATGGTTACACTGTGTGCCGTCTCTCAATGAAGACAAATATGGCTATGATCTAGCTGTTTTCCTTGCGTTCATGCAGCATCTTCAATACGTGCAGACTGAAGGTTTGGCATTTATTTCTGATTATCAAGGTACTCATCGCCATACCTTGACAGCCATTTGCACTAAGACTGATGCACAAGTTTAGGCAGTTTAACACTTTTAACAGATCCTCAAATCTTGACTCATCTGTGCGTGTGTCATATGCTATTCATTTATTTTGATGACCTTTTTTCTTGAACAGGTCCGTGAGTGAAGGGGGTGACGTCTTTGGAGATGGAAATATTGAGGGCATGGTAGACGAGTTCGAACACAAACATGCTTGCAATCATTACTGCAGGTGGCCAGGATTTAAATTGCGGTCATTTGTCAGTTTGAAGAAGGACAATTAGATAGATTTTTTGGTCTAAGATCTTGGTGTTATGGACAATGTCAACGGTACTTGCCCGAATCTCCCTTTGTGTACTTCGAATCTCCCTTTGCATACTTCGAATCTCCCTTTGTGTACTACTATTTATTACCAATCCTCAATGGCCATAGGGTGTCCATGGTCCTACTGTTTAATAGGGATTTGTGACACGAAAAAATGAGCATGGCTGTCCTGCTTTCCATACTACTGGAGATCCAGAGGCTAGAGCAACTGCACTTCCTTACCTGTAGAGTAGAAGAAATTTTCAGTTGTACAGCCTGCACTACGTAAACAATCATTTATGATTGCACAATGTCTGCCGCCGCACTCGCCCGACTCATAGCCAACAATTTCAATCATGGCGAGAAGGTCGACAACAAATCTAGATGCTACTACTAGTCCTAAAAACACTATCCAGATGCTCTTCACATCCAAGGTCGCGATAACCAACTCCCAAACCACCTCATTCACAAGTGTAAAGCAGCATTCTCCTGCGAATGTCCAAATGTACAGCATCTACTAGTATAAGTCAATTGATACTCAAAGTCTAATGAACTAACTGGCTTTAGGTTCATAATTGATGCTAGTATACATTTTTCTGCAAGCGAGAATGACTACTTGCTCTAGTTCCAGTTTATGATTTTGTGGGATTGGAGCATGTTGATCAAGGTCTTGCACCGAAATCTGTTGACGACGAGATCATGGTAGTTGATCACACCTCACACAACAACGGACAGTGGGATGTGGACGTGCTGATGTCTTCCAATGGTGTTTCCTAGTGATAATTACTATATATTGTCATAAACATAGCAGCTTGTAGCACTAACAGTCACGGTCACACATTGGTCACAATCTTAGAGCCTTTTGCAAGTATTTAAGATTTAAGTATTGTAAGATGGCACCTCCGCTGCGCCCGATTGCAGTCGCTTTCATATCACCCCAAAATCACCCGATTCTCATCCGCACATTTGAAAAAGGGGATGAGCTGAAGTACCACTATGTAGCCCATACAAGTCTCGATGTCATTGAGGAACGAAGTCTGTGCCCCCCGCTTTCTGTTCTTCATCCCCCACTGACAAGAATATACCTCACGACATTTGACATTAGTAAATGGTCCGACAAAATCTAATGATTGCTACCTCGGCCTTCTCTACACAATGGATGACATAGCTGCTTATGGGTACATCACACCTCTAAAAATGAAGATTGTTCTCGCTCTCCCACTCACAGACTCTGTCGTACGTGATGCGGAGGTGATCATGGTAAATATCTCCTCGTCCACCCTATCCATTCTTTGACACGGATATATCTTTAGACCTTTAAAGCCCTCCACCTAGCCTACTATCATGCCTCCTCAAACCCTTTCATCCGACTTCATGATACACCTGCGGGCGTGGGGAGCGCCAAGTGGAAGCGCTTCAGACAGAAAGTGGACGAAATAAGCAGGGCTGCTAGTGGTGGGAATTTGCCTTCATGAGCTAGTCACTGCACAAAGGTAATGGATGTAAGGAGAATTGAACTGAACTGCCGATAACGACGCATGTCTGATTGTCATTTTGTGTGGCTTAGGTTCGCAGCTCACCGCGCTTTGCAGGCTTCGGCCATCCGCATGACATTGCGTGGTCGTGCTCCTCGTTTGTTACGTGTGAACCGAAATGGATCAAACCCTTCTATTGACTCAGATGTCTAGCGAGCACCACGTCTGAGACAGATACGGGGTTGATATAATTCATTGTCTATTTTCCCTCACTAGCTCCTCTGGTGTATTGTTTGGAGGCTTGTCTTGTGGCATCATAGTCAATAGCGTACGGTCACCGCCTCGTGGAGTGGCTCAACATGAATTACATTTCATAAACCTAAGGTTGCTTGCCCCAGAGAAGATTGTCACTTTTAGTGCTCTTACTCTTGTCAAATGCTGTAGTGCGCGTTGTATACTAAGACTTGTAAATTCAATTATCAATTACTAACGGATCATCAGGGGTATTCCGGCTTTTGGAACAATCCATATCTGTAGTGGTTCTGCTTGCTAAGACGGTTCTTTCAAGTCGGGCCAACCTGGACGACGACCTCAATTCATGACAACTACGCGAAAACTTGAAAGTGTACCTGGAACGACATCTTTCATGAGTTTAATTTTCTTTCCCGACTGAATCACTACCAATGAATTCTTCAGCTTCAGATAATTGTTGACATTCGTCCAGGCATTCACAGCCCTACCAAAGCCTTCTCCAGCCCATCCAGCCCTTCTCTAACCTCCCTTGCCATGACCCTCACGATCGTATCCTCATCCACAGCTGCGAGATACTCCAACACCGTACAGGCGCGTCTCATAAATTCCTGGGATAGTGGTCCCCCTTCGTATGACATATATGCGCCTTTTTGCCCGCCAGATATGCCCCTGATTTGGACGCCGCTCCAGGAGCCGCCACCGCGTTCATATGCCTCCTGAGTGAGCAGCCGCACGAGAAGCGCGAGAAAGTGTAGCGCCGCGCGTCGGAGTGCTGGAACTTTTGAGGATGCGGTCAAGGGGGATATGTCTAGCGGGTCTGGAGAGCGGTCGGGTTGGTATTGGGGTGTTGGAACAGATACAGGTTCTGCCACTTCTGTGTCTACTGCTGCGTCCGTTTCTGGTCTCTTTTGTTTCACCTTAGCTTTGGGACGAGGAATGGGAGTAGCCATAGTCATCTCAACCAACACTAAGTCTAGCATCCCCTCTGCTATTTCCTCAGTGTATCGTTCCACCACACGTGCACAAGTGTTGATACATTCGGAGAGCAGGGAAATCGCTGACGTGCGTAAGATGACCGGTGCGCGTGGCTGGCGGAGGAGAGAAAGGAGATGTGGAAGTAGCGTGTCCGCTTTTTTAACACAGTAATGACAAAATCAACGAGAATAAGATAAAGAGGCGGGATGAAACTCACCATGTAGCCCCAAGGCGTCTCCACAGCGTCTTATAACAATCGCGAGGGCTTCACCGATGCGGAGACGCCTGTCAACTTCGCTCATTCGTTTGCCCTTTTCCCTGCCCTTTTCACTATCCTTGGGTTTTTTATCCAATTCTGCCTCGTCATCAGCAAGATCCTCTGCCCCCCTCGCATACGCATCCAGAAGCGCTTTCAATACTTCGTTCCCTGTATCAGGTCTGGAATTGGGTCCAGGGGCATGTACCAAGGCAGCCAGTCCTTGCACCGCATTCAAAAATACATAAGAGTCGTCCTCCTGGATGGCTTGCATGAATATGGAGAGGATAGCAGGATGCAGAGCACGTATTGTCGCTTCCTTCTCAAGCCTCTCTCGCTCGGCCATACTCGCACGAGTCGGGAAAGATACCAACTCGCGTAGTAAGAGCAAACCATGCGCCCGTACGGGTAGGAGCTGGTCTTGAAGGAGCTTGAGTGCCTTCTGGTACGTCTCTCGCGGATCTGCGTCGTCATTCACGCTTCGACCGTTAGACGTCCCCTTATTTTTTTGAGACTCCGGTGCGACTGACGCCCCCTCTGCCATCCTCACCGTCAACACTAACTGTGCCTCGCGTGCGCTTGACCGGGTCGGTGTGTGCGCCTTCAGAAGGTCGAGGATTGGTGTGAGAGAGGGCGTGTTGTTCGGGGTGAGTGAGGGATTGGCTGTGTTTTGGAGTGGCGGGAAGTGGTAATTTTATTTCGGTAAGAAGTAGGAGACGCGACAGGATGTGCATGACATTCATAGTGAGGAATATGACACAAGGATACAAAAAAGAAGAAGTTAGTTATTCTTCTTTTGAATGAGACAAGGACGAACCTTCAAGTACAGCCAACAACAATCCAATAGCAGTCTCTGTCATATCTTCACCCTCAATCTCTCCATCGTCTTCGTCGTCGCTATCTGGTCCGATTTCTAGGTCATCCTCAGGCTGCTCATCTGGTACGATTCTTAGATCCTCCCTCAAAAGGCCCTTGCTGCATTTGTCGTTTATGCCTTGATCTGACGTACCAGATACGGCTGCGGAGGAGAGTGTATCAGACTCTAATGCGTGCCTCACAAATTCTAATACATCCCTCGGGCGACTCAGGATAGCGGTGTTGTCCAGCTGAGATTGGAAGGCTATGATGAGTTGGAGAAGGAGCATCACTCTGATCATCATGTGCATTAGTAGACATGGCAGGGCTGACATGTTAGGCTTACTGGAGTGGATCAGGTTCCTTTAGATCCATCAATATACTCTGTGTTTCTCCATTGATGTCGCGGTCTGGCGTATCATCAACAGAGCCATACCCCTTCGCAGTGCGATATGCCTCCAGCAATCTCACGAACATGCCCCCTGCGATATCTGCACGATCGAGGTTCTTGATGTAGGAGACAAAGTGCATAGGTGGTAGGTAAAGTCCCAAGTCCAATGACTCTATATCCGTGTCCTCAGTGACGGAGGCATGCCGCAAGTCCTCCGGCGTAAGAAGTGCGAGTTTCTCTTCTCTGTTGACCCTGTATCGAACTTGGCCTCAGATTTACATGAAGATAAAGTAGCAGCAGTGGAACGAACCTCCTTACACGTTTTATATCTTCCGCACTTCCTCCTTCCCACCCTCCTGAAGAGCTTTCGTACTCATCCACTAATGACCACAACACTCGAACTCCCTCGCTTTCCTCCACAACTCGTCCCCATGTCCTCATCAATGACCAAACATCCTCTTTCAGTATTGGATCTGCTACAGCCATTTTACTGAGGTGCGCATGAAGGGAATACAGAAAAGGGAGGATGGGCGAAAGGAGGGAGGCGAATAGAGAGGGCGATGGATCGGTTGATAACAGGATAGTGTGAATGGTTTGAAGGGATGATGATGGGGTAGGTAGAAGGTAATTTTCATCTGATTCCCTCTGGTCGTGCGAGGTCTCATCGGAGACTTTAAAAAGGGGGTTGTGTAAAATGGGAAAGGCTATGCTTGCCACGAGTGCGTGATGCGTGGAACTGGAGTCCAGCATGCGCGCGAGAGCAAATGCCGCGGCGCGTTTGAATGTGGCGTGCGTTGTTGGTAATGAGGCAGAAGAGGAGGAAGGCGGAGAAATGAGAGCAAGGATGCGCGGGGTTATTGTTTGGAAGTAATGCTTGTAACAGTATAGGATCAGAAATGCATTGAAATTGAGTTAACCCAACTTCCACACCTTGGGTTGCATCCCTCGAGGTACTGTTCCTAGCACGCGTGCAACATGCTCCAGCTTATCGAGTTCCGGTTCGTCTTCCACATCGAGCTCACCAAATACAGCAGCACAGAGGGCACCCACACCACCTGGACGGAGGAGGTGTTGGGTGAGGAGAGATGAACAGAGTTTACGGACATGGGGTGGTGTTGCAGAGTTAGGGGTGGAGAGGACTGTAGCAAGGGATGTCATGAGTTGTGGGAGGGGAATGCTGAGGGCACATATTTTGGGGGGAAATAAATGAGATTACGAGCTACGACTACTGTAAATTACACGCACAAGGCAAGGAGACGGAGCACGAGCGGGCGGAGAGACTCGACGGGTTCACTAGGTAGCCATCCGAGGGCCATACTCGGGCGTAACAGATCAACTGCATGACTTGACAGTAGTGTACTGCTAATTAGCGTCTGAGGTGGTGTACTATTTGGGCCATTTGGGAACAAGAGACCCATGAGGCGCAAAAGCAGGTCAGAGAGTGTAGCGTAATCGGCGGGCGTGTTCGTGAGGTCGATAATTTTTGGGGTTCCAGAAATTGGTTTAGACGATAACAAAGGGGTGAGACGCGTGTAAAGCATTTCAGTTCCCCAGCGAAAGATAAGAGACATAAGGGTGCGGAGTGTACCAAGGTCGCGTGTCCCTATTGCTGGTGCGCTTTTCAGACCACCTTCTTGCAGGAGATCTGGTAGGTTTAGAAGAGATTGAACGCGCTCGACAACGTGCAGAGCACATTGAGCAGTTTCAAGTTGGGCATCCTCCACTGTATCAAAAGAACCTGAAGGACCGGAGGATTCGAATGCTTGGTGGTATTGCGTGAGTCTGCGCACGAGTACATTTTTGAGATCGCGTTCGGTTGTGCCAGACGTGTCGAGGAGAAATGAGCCAGAACGCAAGACGTTTGCGAGCTCTTCTTGAGCCTCCGTCGTCATCGTTGAGAACAGTGGGCTCGACGGTGCCGAGATCCGCACGATAGATCACATGACTTTGACTGGTAAAATTCAATGATCTAGTCACTGGTTAAGGTTCTACTTAATTCTTTATCACGACATCGCCGCTGATCAGTTCAACGATGAGCAAGCTTAACGCAAGCGCATTTGAATTTGTTCCAGGTCGCGCATTTGCGCTACCTCAGAAAGCTCAAACGCCTCCCTCAAAACCTCCTCTTGAGCGCCCTCTCCAAACTGAGGCTCCACCTCCAGCTCCTACCATCACCCTCAATATCGGCGGATCGAACACTCCTGCTGCTCCCGCTCCTGCTTTACAGTCAAAATCTGTTCCTCCGGCTCCTGTTCTTGCTCCACAGTCAAAGCCTGCTCTACCACCGTCTGTCTCTGCGAGCACTGCACCATCGCAATCTTCTTCTCCTGCACCACCTACTAACAAAGTCTTTTCCACTGAACGAGCCAAGACAGACACCACATCCATTGCAAAAGAAGTTCAGGCTATTGCAGACCAGGAAGTCCTCAAGGATCTTTTTGGCGATGGTGCGCATCGTACCTCACTGTTCCTTTCATGCAACTATACTCATATATTTATAGTCAAAGAACATCTTAACATCGTTTTCATCGGCCATGTAGATGCTGGAAAATCAACTCTTGGTGGGAACCTCCTATATATTTCTGGTGGCGTTGACAAACGCACCATGGAGAAATACGAGAAAGAAGCAAAAGAAGCTGGCCGTGAAACATGGTACCTTTCCTGGGCTCTCGATAGTACCCCTCAGGAGCGCTCAAAGGGGAAAACCGTCGAAGTCGGTAGAGCTTACTTCGAGACACCGTCTCGAAGATATACCATTCTAGATGCTCCAGGCCACAAGACATATGTTCCAAGCATGATTAGCGGTGCTGCCCAAGCAGACGTCGCAATCCTTGTCATCTCCGCACGCAAAGGTGAATTTGAAACTGGTTTCGAAAGAGGTGGCCAAACCCGGGAACACGTCATGCTCGTGAAAACCGCCGGCGTCAGCAAAATCGTCATCGTCATCAACAAGATGGATGATCCAACTGTCAACTGGGACAAAGGCAGATACACTGAAATCAAGGATAAGCTGACCCCATTCGTGAAGTCTGCTGGCTACAATCCCAAGACGGATGTCACCTTTATACCCGTGTCTGGATATACGGGTCAGAATCTGAAGGACCGCGTGGCAAAGTCTATCTGCTCATGGAATGAGTCCGTAGTATTTTCTTTCTCCCATGTATATGCATGCTCATACCCCTCCTCTAGTGGCCCCTCCTTCCTTGAACATATAGACAACATGCCCATGGTCGACCGCAAGATCAATGCTCCTCTCATGATGCCCGTCTCAGAAAAGTATAAAGACATGGGTACTATCATCGTTGGCAAGATCGAATCCGGACACATTCGCAAGGGTGACTCTCTAACCCTCATGCCGAACAAATCTCCTGTCGAAGTCGCCGCCATTTACAATGAGATGGAAGATGAGGTGCCCAGTGCGATCTGCGGTGACAACGTACGTGTGAGACTGAGGGGTGTGGAGGACGAAGATATCAGTCCTGGATTTGTCCTTACAAGTCCGAAGTCTCCTGTGAGAGCGGTGAGGCAATTCGAGGCGCAGCTCGCAATCTTAGAACACAAGAATATCATTTGTGCCGGATACTCAGCTGTCATGCACGTGCACACGCTTTCCGAGGAGGTTACACTGCCTGTGAGTGCGGCGTGTTTTGCTGGTTTATACAGTCCTGATGTAAATAGGCGCTACTACACTACTTTGACAAAGCTACTGGACGAAAGTCGAAGAAGCCGCCTCAATTCGCAAAGAAGGGTGGGTGTCCTCCGCACATTGTAAACAATTCTCACTGATGTTTCTCCTCCCCTATCTCGTTGCGAAAAAAAAAATTGCCGTAAAATTATCTCCGCCTCCTGCACGTTATAACCATGCACCACTTCGTCACGATATCCAGGGCAAAAAGTCGTGGCACTCATAGAAACGACTCAGCCCATCTGTGTCGAGCGCTTTGTCGATTATCCTCAACTCGGTCGCTTTACGCTGCGTGACGAAGGCAGAACAATTGCTATTGGAAAGGTGCGTTTTTTACATCAATTGGCTGCTGCATGTAAACTTTTATTTTCCTTGATGTTCCCTTAACTGCTTTTCTTCCCCTCGGGTACATCACTAACTGAATGTTCTTTTCATTGCAGATCACAAAACTTCATGACGATCGTGTCGATGAGGTCGCAGAGGGCGTGGCGCACGTGTCGGTTGCCGCGTAAGGTATTTGCGTGTACTTGCATCATACTTACACGTATGTATTTTATGTGATATGATTGTTCATGACTCTCACAATATGTGTTGCATTTTTTGGCCCTTCTGCGATTTTTACACCTTTAATGCTGGCGTATTCCAGATAGTCGTCCATACCGCGTTCCAATAGATTGAGGGGGTACGATACCAAGAAATGAATCAGAGCCCGGCAGACTCCCTACCGGTGGCAGTAGTTGCAATAGAACTATGCTGTGGACTTGTTTGTTATGCTTTCAATGCTTATATTGTGTACATACTGTAGCTGTGTGCAAGTGTATTGTTCTGTTGCGACCACTGGCCCGGGTCCACAACAAAAGATTTGAAACGCGTTAATCACGTGACTAAAGGTCATTTGCCTTTCTGAGTTCGCAACTGCTGGTTCTTGATCATAGCCTTAGCCATGACGCTCAAACTCAAGCGGACGAGCCATTCTCCTTCTCCATTTTCATGGGAAGCTCTCAGCCCACCACGCGCGGACTCTCCCAATGCAACCGAAGCTACCGGTCTACCTCCACCGCCAACATCATGGCTCTCTGCCCGCGACATGAAAATATTTGGTGCCCAACCACTACGTGCCGACATCGGCGTTGTGCGTTGTGCAGACTGCGACAAGCCTATCTTGCGTAGTGCCATTTCAGAACACATCAGTATGTCATGGCTTTCTACAATTGCCAGATATTTTGCTCATGCGCAGTCAGGCAACTGTAATGACATCCGTTCAGGGAAGAAATG